GAGAGTAATACAGCCAAAAAAAAAAATTACGTTACTATTATGTGCAAGGACCTGGATGAGATAACCACTCCTGAAGAAATCTGCGACGCATTACAAAAGAAGTGTGGGATTCAGAACCTAGGGAAGCAAAGTATAAAGGAAAAATGAAGATATTATAATTAAATCTTAACCATTCCGCTGCAGCAAAAGACCTGCTAAAACAGACGGTGCTAGAAGAGAGCATAGATGTCGCCCTATTAAGTGAGCCATATACTCAGCGTTCGGAGAGCACTTAGATTAAAGATATAAGTGGAAAGGAAACAATATGGTTCTGCAAAGGACAAGGTTTCACATCACGCTCGAGAGAAGCCCAAAACGGTTTCACGTGGGCAGACATACATGGAAAGTATTTTGTAAGCTACTTCTCATTCTAGCGTGGCAATTAATGAATTCGAAAACTTTCTCCCGGAGCTGTCCCTAGAGACTAGTAGCAAATAGGCAAAAATAATAACTGGAGATTTTAATGCATGGTCTTTTCTGAAAAGTGAAAATTTAAACCCCGAAATTTTAGAATTCTTTCTAATAATTATTTTAGAGATCATATTATTGATTTCAAGTTCATTAAATATTTTTTCTGTGCATACTTTATTACATTTTACTATAAAATGTAAAAATTTATGAGAGATATTTCTTAAATATTTCCATTACAACCCGACTTACTATGTTCATATAGATATTCTAAAGCGGACCGTTCAGACTCGCAGCTTATCCATTCTTTAGTCAACTGAAATGTTTTTTGACTTTTCTACAAAAATATACATTAAGATCTGCTAATTAATTACAAAAATATTGTTTCTACTTTTTACTTAAATAACGAAAATATATATAATATAATATAGTATAATTTCCATATTGAATTAAATAAATAATAACATAAATAAATGCATAATTACAAATAAATATCAAGCTCAAGAACAAGGTAAAATTTTGACATTCGGATTCACCACGAATAATGTAAAAATTTCACCTTCATCTGTCAGAATTTTAATTTTGGCACACAGCTTTATGGAGAATTTTTTTTCAAGTTAAAAAGCGTAGCTGTAACCACATATTTTGGTTTTCTATAAATTATTAATTGATTTTCAGTCTTATTTTTTAAAATTACAAGAAAAAAAAAGAAAATTGGTACTTTTGTTTGTCATTTAAAGAAAACTTAGTTGTTACTTTCACATGTAAATTTTTTGACAACAGAGTATACAAATTACCAATCGAAGACGTCTAATATATACTTACTTGTACTCAGGACCCTTTCACTTTTTACTTAATAAATATCTGACGCAAACACCATTTTTTGTTTAAATTTGCTAACAAATTAACTGCCTTAATAATCGTTTATAAACGCACCGATGGCGATCTCAAAATAAATATTATTACAACTCATTTAATCATTATTATTATGCTATTGGTACTAGGTAAGTAGGTAGGTAGAGTGGCTGTCTGACGACGCACTTAGGCCTATAGGAGGCCCATTGTGATAAAACCGGGACTAATGTTCCCTCACTCTATTGTCTCCTCTCGGAACCAATCTGTGCTTCTGATGAAGTTCATAAGTATAAATAGTATTAATTTTCTGAGAGGCTCAGAGATGTTCAGATCCTCAACGCGCTCAGTATGGCCCTAGGCTGGATATTATTGAAAGCAATTCCTATATCTAAAAAGGCAATTAGAGTGTTTTCTTTAACTTCCACAGATTTTTCAATTTGTTTCTGTTTCTGTGGATTTTGCTTTAGAAACGTTGCAAAAGATTTACAAGAATTTTCTTTTGCTTCACCTTCTTTTTTGTATGACTTTAGGCTTAGCGAAATTGAACTGATTTCTGCAGCCTTTCTGTAATTTTTTTAGTTCGGGAAGCCACCATGGTAGCCTAATTCTAGTACATGTGGACTAGCCTTCCTTTTAGTATGATTCCTGAAGTTGTTGACTCTATCTGCCCTTTCCTCAATGATACATTCAATATATCGGTAATCCGAAAAGGAGTGTTCTTCAAGTACTTTCCATTGAGTTACCCTGTTAAGCAGTTCTTCCGACACAATTGTAATATCTAGTACTTCTTGTCGGTTTCTTGTGATAAACGTTGGCATACTACCTTTATTACACAATCACCTCTGTTATTGGCATCTATGCTGCCCCAGATTGTACGGTGCGCGTTTGAGTCACGTCCAAGTAAAATCATACACTTGGATATCCCACTATCGCATACCAACTCTTTTACCAGCTGAAGTGGCACATGCTCCTCGTCGTATGGTATATAACTTGATACCAGCCGGTAACTTCTTGTGCCCGTTTCCCAGCTTACTGCTGCAGTGTCATGGTTGCTACTTCAATGAAACATAAAAACGTTATGGCTTTTCTTTGCCATTATACATGCTCTGAATTTAGTTTCACAATTAGCCATACATAGCTTGTAGCTCCGTGTCCTCAATCCGAAAAAAACGCCCTCCATTAATCCATGGCTCCTGAATGAGGCCAAACTCAGGCTGTTCTATTGCCACGCGGTTAACTTGGGCTACGGAAGCTAGTTTGCTGTGATGGAGATAATTTGTAGAAGACGCATTAACTATTGTTACATCCGCGTCTTCCTGAGAGTCACTTAAAAGCTCTCTCTCAGTAAAAGGGTTTCAACATCACTCGAGCACTTCATAGGATCTTCTTCGACTTCGCATATCTCGTTTTTCGATGCTAGATGGTCTGCAGCATCGGCTTTCGACTTGTAGGTTGTGACTCTCACCTTCGTGAATCTATAATTGATCTCCTGTCAGCGGTTCGATGGACTCCTTTGTAAGTAAAAGCAGAATCTGCATCGTGGCCCTTTTATTCTCCATGCCAGATTCTGCTACGGGGTCCTCGAAGGCCTTGACAAATTTCCTTGACTATATCAGCTTTATAGAGTGCGACCGATTTTTCGTAGTTGCACGCAATAATTTTGATCTGGCCCTATTACCAGCCGACATCTGTGCATGAAGGTGGCGGATCCGGATTGCGCATGACACCTTGATCCCAGGTAAGAACTCTGACCTTAGCTAGATTCCTCACAACTACGGCAGGGGCGGACTGTTAACAACCCGTCCTTGTTTACGTCGTGAAATTGTGGTTTATATTATCAGTCAGCACCCTCAGGGTGGGTTCAGCGGGGATTTCTGCCGACCCAATTGGTACCAACAATACCAGTAGTGTCCACGCGCGCTCAACAATCTTTAAGCGTGTTGTTACGAGCACGGTACCAGTACAAAATAGAATCAAGCAGACAGCGAAATTCGTAATTGTAAGAATGTCCAGTGCAACAGACACAGTTCTAGTTGAAGTGCTGCCGTAAACAGTACAATTGAGATATAAGTTAGAGGTTGTGAGCTCTAATAGTGAGTAATAAAGCGTTAAGTTGTTAGAATCAGAAATAAAGGTAAGTGTATATCCATTTAATTGGGACTTTTATATATCGCAAGTGACCTCACAAATAGCAGAGGATGCATCACATATGTTGGCTTTGAAACAATTGGGGCACGTATGTCAGCACAGTTGGTGGCGCACGGGACGTAATAACCATCACAGTATGAGCAGATGTCTTTACAGGGAGAAAGGCAAGAAGCGTGTATATCAGCACAAGTGTCCTCACAGTTGAAAAATTAGAAAACGTGTATACAACGAGTGAAGAAATAGATTCAGAAAGCTCAGTCGCAAAAGCACATTAGGCAGAGCAATGCAATTTAAAGTTGGCGTGGGCCGCTTGCATCAAGTATGGGAAATTTAAGATGAAGTCTTCAACGAGCTGCACAATGGCCCAAGTGGAGGGCACTTGAGAATCACGAGGACCTTGGAGAAGTTAAAGCAAAGATTATAGTGGGTCGGTTGCAGCTAAAGGGTTGAGAGTCAACAGTCATAGCCAGATGAAGCAGTACACATAAGGTAGTCAAAAAAAATTTCCACGTATTGCCAATTCCTAATCAAGAGGCTGAACAATTAGCGGACGTATTCATCAAAAAGTGCGTAACGAGATTCGGTGTTCCATCGGAATTACGTTCTGACTAAGGAAAAAATTTCGATTTAGCTCTAATTCAAGGAATGTACCAGAAACTTGGTATTCGGAAAACGGATGGAATTAACGCCAATAAGAGAAGGATGGCTAAGAAAGTCAACAGCATCCTAAAAAACGATATGATAGACATACATATGTAAATGCTATGCGTTTGGTACCACAAATATTTTTAATCCGGACGATCAGACTTAGGTGAATGACAGTGCGACGAACACGGGTGAATGATTAGGGGAATGACGGTGCCAGAACAAAATCAAATCGACGATAAATTGCTAGAATCAATCAGACAGTGGAATTCGTAGTTGCCAAAATGTTCGAGTGGTGAAGTTTGGTTAACGATCTACTATACAAGAACTTCCGGATTGTGTTCTAGTTAGAGCACTGTCGTGCTAAGAGCAATTGTGATATAAGTTAGAGGTTGTCAGCTCGGATTATAAGTAATGAACCCAGTATTTAGGACATTAGAATTTTAGCTGCAATTATATTTAATCAATTCTTTAGACACAACATAAAATTACGCTCTTCATAAACGTCATTGCTAGGTTTTTATTCTATAAAACAAAATAATATTATATAATATTTAACAAACATATCAGAAGAAGCGCTTTCACATGAATTTACAAACTTTTTTTCCCAGATAATGCCAGCAATTGTTAATGAAGAATTGTATAGCTGGAGAATTGTGCAACAGAATTTTCTGTGTAAAAAAACAAAAAGTTAGCTTTGGGTATGTGGTAGTACAAGAGACGAAACTTAACGAGTATAGCAGTGAATTGGTTACCTCCGTCTTGTAGAAGATATGATTGAAATGAGCCATAATTCAATAAGAATTCAATCATGTTATGAGCACATCATTTTCAAATTGACTTTTTGTGTTGCCAAAAATACAATAAAACAATTGATAAAAATAAAGTTTAAGACAAAATTGTTTGTGGACATAAAACTGCAAATATGTCATTTGATTTTAATTACAAATTTTGGGTTGGCACAAGAACGGATATTGAAGACATCATAAAAAGGCAAAATGTATTAAAGAGGAAAGACCCAATAACCAACCCGTTGGTCACGTATAGAATATTTTCGGAACTGTATGTATTATACGTCGAATTGGTCAATAAACTGAGCTATGTTTATAACTATACGTTTCAAGTCCAGAAGCGTAAAGTGGTTAGACCATTAGTCGAATCTGCCGTTCGACGTTTAATGGAACTAAAAACAGAGCTGAAGAATTTGGAATTAAGTGAATATGTTTACACTGACAAAGCTTTAATTGCAAGAAAGCTCAACCCTTATGATTTGGTTATTTGGCGTTCTCCGCAATTTTTATATCGTCGTCCTCCTGAACTACAAAATATAGTGTACGAAAATAGAATTTTTATGAATGAAGAAGAGAAAACTTATGCCGATAAGAAGGGCAAATTAATTTTGAGTGATGCAGTCAAGCTGATACAAGCTCATGAAAGAGCTAGAAGTGCCCGTGTTTATAAATCCGCTATCAAATACGATAAAAGAAATCTCAAAGTATTTCAACGAAGAAAAGTTCATTACATATTTACTTACAAACCTGATCAGGCAATGAGCATACCAGTGAAAAGAACAATGTTCAATGCGGACTTTGTAAAACAAAATGAACATTGCAAATATTTAGTAGGAGCAGATAAAATTGATCGAAAATCGAAAGATGGTAAGTAACTAAGAATAGTATTATTACTTTTTATTATTATTAAGACTTATAAATGTAAATTATAATGGTAGAGATCGATGAAGATGAACTAAATATGATACGTAACGAAGCAGCATTAAAGATTCAGTTAGCATGGAGGTCTCATAAAAGCCAAAAAATACTTAAGAAAAGGAATATTTTCAAACAAACATTGTATGGTATGAGAACTAAAAGGCGTTTAATTAACCCAAACCAGTATATGGATTCGTTTATGGAAACATACAGAAATGAAAAGCTGAAAATAAAACTGGATGAGGATTTCATTCGATTGATGACTGATGAGAGAACTAGATTGTTGCAAGAAAGGTCTCCATGGATAATGGAGGACATATCCGATCATATACGTGCATGGTTCAAGGAATTGTAAGATTTGCATTTCTATATTATATTATAAGGTGGTCATATTCTAAAGGTATCCTATTGCAGTTATGATAAAGTGGGCGATTTTCATCCATACCCGGATGCTTTAAAATCTGGAACTGTTTTAGTTTTGATCGATGAAACATTGTCTCCAGAGGATTTTAAAGAAAAGTTGAACGAAATGAATTTGTCCAAAGAAGAAAAGAAAAAAAGAGCAGAGAAAGTAAAACTACAAAGAAAGAAAGAAAAGGACAAAATAAGAAAAGAAAAAATCAAAGAGGCTAAGAGAAGGAAAAAGATGAAGGAACAAGGCATTTATGATATAGCGCATGATATGAAGACTAATAAACATATATGTAAGTTTATTCATTAGTTAAATAATGCACACATACATATATTTCGTCTCATCAACTTATAAACTATGGGGGCTATTCACCACCGCGTGCTCCAGAGTAAATTAATTTGGTTCATCTAACGGTGCCTCAGCGTCTCCCTCTTCAACCAACTACCCAACCAAGAGTGCTGCAAGATCTAAAACTAATTGAAATATATGTGGTATCCACAAAACATTGTTATTCGAAAAAGTATGAAGTTCTGTAACTTTGCCACGAATTAACCAAAAAACTCCAATTTGGCACAGTAGTGACATTGGTGTATGAGGATTAGGTTTAGCCATATCTCATATTGTTTGGCATTGGACCAAACCAATATTTAGCATAATCAAAAAAAGTAATTTCTTAGTTTTACGATTTTGGCCTCAAAAACCCAATATTTCGGTAGGTAGTTTTTATATCTTCTAATTTTGAAAGTATATAAGATTTTTCTTTGCTGTATCAAAACACGAAATTCATTTTATTCCATTTTAAACAAATTGAGTAGAGGTAGCATCACTTTGAGTTTCATGATTTGGTGAAATTTTTTGAAACTTTGACAGTATTTCAGTATATGTTAGTATTCTCAGCCCATGTAGTATACGCAAACTTGTGATTCTTTTGATGATTTTATTGTGTGCCATTTACGTATACATAGGTGTAATTCAGTATTATGTCTTTTACGAGCTAAACACCTCTTTGATGTTACATACAATTACATAATAACGCCGGTCCTTAATTTAGGGGATAGCTAAAGAGATAGAAATAGTGACATCATAAGAAATAACGTTTTTATTTATAAGTTCATACGCTAGTTAAACGTATATCAAACCTTCTTAATTGGTAACCATTTTAAAAAAGAGTATATATATATTTTCTTGTAGTGAATATTGAGAAAACTATAAAGCAATACTCTATTGACTGGAGGATGATTGATGAATATCTCAATAAAAATCATGAAGCAATAAAGGATTGGGTGACGGGAGGAGAACTTGCAGTTATGCATAGAGAGCTTAGAGCGTTGGTGGATGAATATATGCGGTAGTTAAATCATTTTTTCTATCTTCTATTATTTTTCGTTATTCTGGTGCACTTTATACCATATATGTATATCCATCCGCATATAGAATATCTAATTAATATCTAATTAAGTGAACCTGTTATATTCGACATACTATAGTTCGGTACCGAAAAAAATTACCGCAGCCTTATATGTTAATCTAATATTTTTCATTAATCCACTTGATTTAAAAATATACGCATACGCATACTTTAGTTTAACGAAAAGGTTAAATAAATCAATCCATCGGTGAAATTATCATCAATGTAGAGCCCATAAATATCCTGAAAAATGTCAGCACAAATAATACATAAGGTAGAAATGAAAAGACATAAAAGGTTCCCCTGACATACCGCGTAAAATTCAAGATAAATTAATTGCCTAATATCCAAAAAGAAATTTAATTTTGCACAAATTCGGAAACAAAGAAAGTATATCTAGTGAAGAGGAATGGTATATCTAGTGACTCGCTCTGTATGACTACTGAAAATTTAAATAAGTGCTAATACGAGAACGTTTGGGTGAAGCAATACAGCTCAAAAGATTGGAATTGTGGAAAAATGAATCGTGCATTGTGCATTACGATAATGCACCAGCTCACACATCAATGCTTATTCGTGATTTCTTGACTAAAAATATAAATAAATACATATCACAAAAATTCAAAATTCACCTTTTCATTTGAACACACCTCGTATGTCGACATACAGAAAAACGTCTTGTTTCCATGGGGTGAAAAGCATTCGCCTGTTATACCATAATTTTAACAGAATTTTGACGAAGATAATTTAACCTTTATAACATTACATCAAAGGTTTTTTAATTATAGACGATTATTATAACAGATATAAAAGTCCGGTTGTATGTAGACTGGCATCACTTTCCAAACACATTATTGTGCCCAAAAGTAGATATCATTCGATTTATTCCGCTATAGCAACTTCGAAGCAATTATTTATGTAGTATGAAAAATTATGTTGCGAAGGTGGTCATCTATGGGTAACTAAACTCTTATGGTGTAGGGTACAATAAGATAGTTAGGCAATAATAAGAATCAATAATCTGTTTTAATACATTGATAATTATTTAATGTAATAATATTATTTTGTATAATTCAGATTGGAATATGAAATACTTCGGAAAGCTCTTTGCAAGGATCTGAATAAAAAATATAAACCTCAAAAACACAAAAAAGCTAAATCTAAAAAAAAGAAGAAGAAAAAGAAGAAGATTAAAGACATGACAGCTGATCGCACAATTGAGTCATTGTATGATGAGCTTAAAGCAGACGGCATAATAGAAAAATGCGAGAAGAAGACATTCGAGTCGTTTATTTCGGATTTCAACTTTGTTGCGGACGACACTCGAGACGAAGATCATTTGACGTAAGTTTTTTTTTTATTATGTTATGAAATAAGTGGATTAAGTTATTAATAGGTAGGTAGGTAGGTAGAGTGGCTGCCTAACGACGCACCTAGGCCTATAGGAAGCCCCTTTCGATACCACCGGGACTAATGTTCCCTCACTCTTTCGTCTCCTCTCTGAACCAACCTGTGCTTCTGATGATGCTCATCGTACAAATAGTTTTATATGAGCAACTTTCGATACGTCGTCAAGGAATCCTCGACCGATGGTTGCGATTCTTTTTCTGTACATTCGCATGGAAGATGTTTTACAGTCTCCTCTTCTTCTACTTCCTGACAGCTTCTACAATAGTCATTGTTAGGTACACCTAGCTGCTGGCATGTCTACCAAATAGACAGTGACCTGTTAGTACTCCTATCAGAGTTCTTATGTCATTACTTTTGAATTTTAATAGTCGGTTTCTACGACTCACGCTGCATTCCTGCCACGTTAGTCTGCTATGTGAGCAAGTTATTGATTGTCTCCACCAAGACTCAGCTAGATTTACGCATGTTCGCTGATTAAATGTTTGCAAGTTGCCAGAGGCATATAAATTCCTGTTTTTTCAGTGGTTAATTGTAAAGTGGTACCTGTTCTGACGAGTTCATCTGCTTCGCAGTTATCGTGAAGTAGGATGTTAGGTCCTTCAATAGATCGAGACATTCTTTTACTATCCTTGATGAGACTATTAGAGACTTGAGTGATTTCAAGGCCGCTTGGCTATCCGTATATATATATATATATATGCTACTTGTTGTGACCACACTTTTTGTCAATACCACAAGGCTTTGTTTGATTACTGTGATCTCCGCCTGGAAAATACTGCAGTGGTCTGGTAAACGGAAGGCGATTTTGGTGTCTAATGTTGACACTAAAGACACTACCTCCCACTCGATTATCCAGGTTGGATCCATCCGTGTAGATGCTAATTCTTGCATTCCCGTCCACCCCGCCCTTTTCCCACTCCTCTCTGGTGGGGAAGGCAATGTTGTGGACCGAATTTAGCGCCAACTATATTGGATATCGCAAATCCGTGGGTTTTGGTAGAAACGGGAATATGCTAAGTATCCTAGAATGCCCTTGTTGCAGGCGACTAATTGGGAGGATTCCCTCAGTCTGAGAGTGGACTTTGCTGCCGCTTGCTTACAGAACAAGTCTGCTTGCAGTAAATGTAAAATGACGTTTAGTGCCTGGCTTGGCGTTGTTCTAAGAGCTCCACTAATGTTTATACTGGCTGCTCTTTGTATACTTTCCATACGCTCATCCCGTATTTCTTTTCCATTATTGGCCACCATACCATCCCCCTACGGGTAGGGGTAAGAATTTACCCGCAGTAAGGCATGCCTGTCGTAAGAGGCGACTAAAAGCCAATATGCACTATGACTGTTATTATGTACCTTGCTCAGTAATATCAGCATAGTATGCCAGAAATAGTGCTATAATACTCAGCTTGAAATGATATAATATTATAGACTTTAAATGAAAAAGCAAATTAAAAGACATTTGAAGTTCAAGTGACAAATGTCACCAGTCATTGAGTAATGGGTTGCTCAACTGGCAGTAGTTTCGGTTACACAGTCTTACCGGAGACTTTCTGGTACCACGGGGAGCAGAAAGCCCTTGGACTTCGGTCCAATCTGCTCATTGGGTTATGACCCCTTTGGGGAGATTCGTGGTGGCTGTGGTTGAAACCTTAATGCAGGAAGAACTGAAAATTCAGCCTAACTGTTTTTTCAGTTCTAAAAAGAAGTTGCAAAAAGCAACTGGGTTCCGTACCCGAAAACGGAAGAGCTTTTAGGTCGGCCTCGAATCTTACCAAGATGGTAGTGTGTGCCCAGACTGCCACTGGTAACCAAATTAATACTTGCAAATAGCTCGTATTATTTGGGGCGCTTATCAACGCATTGTATTGATACGTTGTGCTTTGGAGCACCGTGAGGTAAGGCCGTCGCCGGCAGGTACTCACGTAAATCAACAACGAAAGTAGGCCACCATACCAATATGCCGTATGTATATATGATTGGTCTGATAACTGCTGTGTAGAGCCAATAAGCTATCCGAGGCAATAGCCCCCATTTGGGGCCCACCATCCTTTTACAGGTGTAGAGTGCTGTAGCCATGAAAGCTTCCTGTCTAAGATTAGTCCTAGGTAGCTTGCCTTATCTCCAATTGTTAGTCTGATACCATTTAATACTGGCGCCGTAACTACTGGAGTATTATGTTCTCTGGTGAATATTACTTGCTTCGTCTTACCAACATTTAAGTTTAGTCCGCATATACGGCCCAAAGATTTATATCGTCTAAGATTGTTTGACTAAGGTTTGAGAGAGTATTTGGGAATTTAATTCTAACCGAAACATACCATGTACCTCCTTCTTTCCTAGATCCAACAGCAACTTATTCATGGTCAGGATCCAAAGAAGTGGAGATAACAGCCTCCTTGAGGAACCATGCTGCGAACCAGCCAATTTTTCTGGTTTTATATGTAATTCTATTAGCCTTTCCAACGTTTTTAGAAGGAATGAGGAGAGGCTAATTGGTCTGAAGTATTTTGGACTTGTGTGCGAGCTTTTGCCCGCCTTAGGTATGTATATTATCTTGACTTCCCTCCAAAGCGCATTGATATGGTTTAATTGCACCGTCTGGTCCCGGCGACTTGAAGGGCTTGAAGCTATTTATTGCCTAGCGTACGTTGCTTTCTGACACTATGTTTATAAGAGTGGAGTCTATTTTTGCTCCACTGTCTTGAGTATATTCAACAGTATGGCTTTCAGAGCTACCTGGGAAGTAGGTAGTCCCAATGACTCTTCACTGGATATCGTCCAACTGCGGTCTGGCTTCTGAAGATAACCGATACTATGCATTTGTGCCCTAATATACGATACGCTTCCGCCGTGTTCTCGATATCATTACAAAAAGATTTCCAAGAATTTCTTTATGCTCTCCTAACTTCCTTTTTGTATGACCTAAGGAGGTTGTAATAATTATCCCAGTCTGACTCGCCTTGGGATTACTTAGCTAAATTGAACTATTTTCTGCATTCTTTTTGTAGCTTTTTAAGTTCAGGAGACCATCAGATAGGCCTAATTCGACCCCTACTTCGTGTTATTGGACGAGCCATTTCTAATGCTTGCCGGCAAGATTCGATGAATCGATCAACGAGGATGTCGAGATCCTCCATACTATTGGGCCGAAACGGGGATACGGGTTTCTAGCTCTTGCATGTGAACCTGCCAGTTCGTTTTCCTATGATTCCTGAAGTTAATGCCTCTATCGGCCCTATCCTCTTGTTCAAATGAGATAAGCCCCTATACATACACACCACTCTACTCGGTAAAAACTGGCGCTCCCTAGAATAACCCACTACAGTGCACCACACTCATACATCACCACACGGGACAACACAACACACCACAGCATCGTGCCTGTACACCAACTCAGCAAACAAAAAGGATGGTCTCCGCAGCAGATACACCTCATTCGACAAAATAGCGATCCTGCGCGCAACTCATATCATCTTTCGAAAAACCACATTCGAAGACTCGCTTCTCGTCCACGGGCCTGAGCGTCACCTCACCACTTTCGTTCCGAGCTGACTTTCAACGATCCAATTTAATTATACGAAAAACAACGCTTTAATTTAAATTATTCACGCGATTGTAATTCAGTGTTAATATCTTTAAAAGTGTTAATATCTCGGTAGTGTTCACCAAAATAGTACATACACATTTAAACACCACTATTATTATTTCAATATATCGGTGCTCCGAAGAAGAATGTTCTTCAAGGACTCTCCATAGGGTTACCCTGTCAAATAGTTCTTCCGACACAAGTGTGATATCCAGTACTTCTTGTCGGTTTCTTGTAATAAACGTTGGCGTAATTCGCTTATTACACAACAGAAGCTTAGTGCTTAGTAGGTAATTAAAGAGACACTCACATCAGTCATTGACATCTGTGCTGTCCCAGACTGTATGAATCACGTTTGAGGCGCATCCAAGTATAGTCATGCACTTGGATGCCTCGCTATCCCGTACCACCTCTTTTACCATCAGAGGTGGCACCAGTTCTTCCTCGGCTGTTATATTGCCACGCGGTTAATTAGGGCTGATGAAGCTAGTTTGTGATGAAGATTAACTTGTAGAAGAAGCATTAACTATTTTTATATATATAGAGTCGCTTAAAGGCTCTTTCTCAGCATACAAGTTTGAGAGTCAAGCTCAGACCCAGAAGAACACTCACCTTGCTCTAGACTTTCCACGTTGCTCGAGGACTCCATAGGATCTTCGTCTACTACGCATATCTCGTTCTCCGATGCTAGATGGTCTGCAGCATCGGCGTCCGACTTGTATGGGGTTATCCTCACTTTGGTGAATCCATAATTTATCTCCCCGCCACTTTTCGTCAGCGGTTCGATGGACTCCTTTGCAAGTAACAGCATGATCTGCATCGTGACCCTTTTGGTCTTCACGCCAGATTCTGCTACGTTGTCCTCAAATGCTTTGACGAACTTGCACCAATCCGTGGGCAGATTCGGGTTGCAGGCTCTTATGGGCTGCATAATCTGATCCGGCTGTGATGGTGTAGCCGGGATCCATACCCTTGCCCTTGGTCTGGATGGTACGTCCTTTTTGTCTACTGCTACCAATTTTGGCCTGGGGTATACCTTTCCCACCTTGGCTATAGCAGCTTTGTATAATGCGACCGATCTCTCGTAGTCGGATTCAATCATTTTGAATTGGCCCTGGTACCAGCCAGCATCTGTGCATGACGGTGGCAGACCTGGATTGATTGGTAGCCTGCACCCATTTCCATTGGGCTCTGAGGATTCTTCCTTCGGGATCCCCCTCATCCAGAACGCCAATGATAATTCGGTTCGGGGCCATTTCTCTACAAAGGATTTTGCGGGCGTTACGCCCTTTGTCTTCGGCCTCTTGTATGACGGCTTAGCCTCTTTAGCTGACCTTTGTCACTTGGCTGACCTTAGCTAGATTCCCCACATCTACGGCAGGGGCGGTAAAATTGTGGTATGCATTATCAGTCGGCACCCTCGGGGAGGGTTCAATGGGAGATTTCTGCCAACCTATAGAGTTATTAATAAGTATTTGAGTCATTCTGAATAGTACACTATCGGTTATTTGTAAAGCATATTGAGGGTAAGCACGCTTGTATTCATTCATTTATTTCAACTCTTTGTACAATGAAAATAATATTTTTAGGGCAAATCAAGAATTTCAAAACTTTTATTGAAATCTTATACAGCATATATCTTTGAAGACCTGAAAAAAGTTTAGAAGCGTTTTAAATTTATTGCTTTGTTAACTTTTAATTGTACATATAAGCTTTTTTAATTTTTTAATGATCGCTTATTTTGGGTTATATGTTTTCAGTACATTGGGACCGGCTAAAGGCGATATTAAAATGGTTGTTCAAGAATGCATGCTTGGATTAGGAGAATTTACTGTAGATAAACCTAAAACTCTTTGTATAGCGGGACCGTTGAATAATGGAAAGAAGTTGCTTTCTCAAATTATTGCATTTGAAATAGGTAAAGTAAGTCACAAGAGTAGTATTTAATTTCATATATATACATATATATATACCTACATTTATATACTTATGTCTATTCACTTGCCAATTATATATGTACGATAAGTATTTTAATAGCATTAAGTGAATATGTTCTCTCAGACATAATGTGAAGCCCTATACAACCAATATAATTAGTTGGTAGAGTTTCATTTCATATTTTGCATGTATCGGTAATAGTGCAAGATATTTCCATATTTCGATACGTTTTTTGTCATTCGATGTTAAAACTTACTGACTTCGGTATGTACCTTCCAGCGCATAAAAATGATGAAAATCCATCCACTATTCCATCCAAAAACGGATATTGATCCATATGTTAAATTTTTATACTATTATACATATATATATATATATATATATATACGTATATATACGTATATAGTAGTATATAATTATACTTAGTCCTACCATAAGTTCTTTTACAAATTTAGACCGTTATAAAAATCAAATTATAATACATATTTTAAGAAAGATAATTTGATTTTATAACGCATATATATATTAAATAAGTGATGTACAGCATTGTATTCGAAATGTTCATCTTTTGCTTTCACACAAGCTCACAGCCCATTCGGCGATTGTTGCATAGTAGCACGCACAGTTTTTTATTGGTATTAACGAAGCTGCTCGAACCAAAGATTTTTTGAAACTCTCCGAATTTCTGTGGGGTATTCGCCAGGCCGTGTTTTCCAACTCTGACTACAAACTCTAATCCAATGGAATCAAATCTGGACTTCCAGTCGGCCACTCATCTGCAGCTATGAAACCGGGAATATTGCTCCTAAGTCACTGATTGGTGGTTTTTACCTTGTGCGCTTGAGCAGAATCTTGGTTTAAGATCCAATGCTCTTCATCGAGGGAGTATTACTTAACTGCTTTACCACGCCTTCAAAACATGCAGCTGGTACACTTTTGCCCCAGCTTAAACCCCTTATTAACAGAAGTGGAGAAGTGTAACGCCTTTGCCGAAGACTGTTCGCTTAACCACTACAGCACAGGATGGTGACCACGATGAACCCTTGGAATAACATTTTTTGCGTCCTTGGAAGTTTCTGCATAAATGTTTTTGTTTCGCTTATTAAATACTTATACTTATTGTAGACTAAGTCTATCCTATCAAAAGTGGGTAAAATCACGTGAATCCTTTTGGCTTTCAGATACCTCACATAAAGATTTTCGAACTTTCGGTTGACTTTATATGTATATATCGGTTAATATGTAAGTTATTTTAATGAAATGTTCAGAGAGCGTATCTTCTGTGTGTTCTTGTGTAATAATGTATGAAATCGGTCCACAAATTAAAACAGCTTCCATGTAATGATTTTTGTTACCTCGTCTACTAGTCGCAATAAACCCAGCATAGTGATTCCCGACTTTCCAACTGACTTTAAATCGTTGATTTTGGTCAAAATATGCGATAATTTAATGAAATTAAACATAATGTGTTTAAGCGCTGAATATGGAAGAAATTGGTCTAGCCTTGGTTGAGTTTATCTTGCCACATATGTATGTATTGTGCATATAACAATATAATATATCTCATTTGAGTTGATGAGTTTGTTTTTAATAAAATTATTTTGAATATATAGTAATGAAACTAACTGAGTCTACAACCTAAAATATTAGTTAGTAAGATATCAAATATGTTTGTAATCCATTAACGGTATTGTCGCACGTTGAATACTTATGCAAGATGCAACAAAATATAATAGTTTTGTTTACCTAACTGTTTTTTGTAACACCTAAAACTAATCGAGATCTATATAGAGTTATATACATTGTAATGGATTTACTAAATGAATCGCCGATTTGACTTTGAGTTCTATAAAATTTGATTTTAACTTTTTAAATAAAAGTCTCAATTTAATGGCTATACAATTATCTTTGTTTCTAATTCAAATAACTTGATTACTCGTTAACCGAGTTTACAATTTCAAACTTATAACCCATTTACATTTTGCTCGGCAATACTATAATTAGATATATAATATACCTATATCGCCTTCCCCTTCGGCAGCCTTTATATAGTAGATTGCTAGATCCCCACTCCACCTCACTGGCAATCACGAATTTCGACGCCTGGATATATCTGTGTGTTCGCCACAGTGCCCACTAGCTAAGTCTGATCGTCCCGTTTAGACCACCAAAACTTTCAAGCCGTTCCAATGGTCTGTATGCGATACACTACATCGTTGAGTCATTTGATAACTTGGTATGGTCTCAGAGTTCATTGCCATATCATATTTTGCTTTTATTTTATCGCTCATAATTTGCGTGCGTTGTCTCACCATAGCATGAATGTATTTCTCTAATCTCGTCTTATAGAATGCTGTTGACTTCCTCAGCATTCCTTCCTCCGGTGGTGTTAATTCGAGACTTCTAATAAATCGGTAATCGAACTTCCTTACCAAAATTACCTTGCTACAGGCCGATAAGCCCTCAGTGACGAGAATATATGAGTATTCCAATCTTTTTGAATCTTGTCTATCCCTTTTCTCAAATGTTCCTCTAAAGTTCGATTGAATCGTTTTACGATGCCATCGGACTGCAGATGTAATCCAGTTGTACGTGTTTTTCAGATAGCCTGTTTTCCTGTATTAGAGCTGTTTCAAAAATTCTCCCTTGGTCAGCATGTAATTCTACTGGAACAACATATCTCGTAACCAAATTTTTGATGAATACGCTATTGTTCCAGTCTCTTGATTATGAATTGGGTATACCTCTGGCCATTTAGTCCATAACTACGAAAACATATTTGTTTCCTAATTTGCTGATGTGAAATAGACAAGCTAAATCCATGGCTTTTGCTTTAATTCATCCAAGGAACCTGGGAACTTTCCTCCGTTGTCACTTTGTGTCCTATATGAGGTTTGCACCGCGACCTAGGGTCTATTTGTGCCCTCTCCTCCATCACATGTATTCCCAAAGTCCCAGCACCCTGACAAACTCCTGAAGCCTGCTGGGTGCTATTGAGATAATGTGATCCCTGTCGACATAAATGGAACAGAGGGCATTGAGCCTGCGTCTACAAATTGCAGTGCAATCTAGAATCAGGTGTTCTGGGGTTTCCGGCCCCATGTCGCAGAACCGGCAGTTTTCACAAGAAGCTATGTGCATGTTAGACAGATGTTTCTTGAGCCGCAGTTATCAGTGTAGAGGGCGACAAGAAGTCGGAATTCGTCTCTGGGGAGGTTTATCATAGCTCTGAATCTGGCTAGATTATACCCTCTCAGTAGCAGTTTAGCATGGCGCATACCCGGTTCTTGCTGCCAGTGACTTTCTCTGCCCATTCTCTCCTCCGTGCGAAGCAGCTCCTTTAGTGTGTGATTCTGGCCCCATCATCCTAGAAGCAGCAGCAGAGCGGGCGAGTTCGTCTGCCAACTCGTTGCCGGCTACCCCTGTATGCCCCGGCACTCAGATCAGATATACACGGTTACAAGCTGATAGGCGGTTCAGCTTTCCTATGCACTCCTCCATCAGAAGCGATTTAATCTTATAAGCTGAGATCGCTTTTAGCGCCGCTTGGCTAACGCTGAGTATAGCAATACCCTTATTGCGATAGTTGCTTTGGAGATTTATTACTGCACACTGATTTATGGCAAATAATTCTGCTAGAAAGATGCTCGGAAAACAACCCGTTGGTATAGAAAGCTTGGTAGGCGATCCCGCAACGCCTGCTCCAACTCCTTCCGGAAGTGTATTACTGAATTTTGCTACCTCTCAACAGTTGGTCGAGTGTGGAATCACTACAGTCCGCCTTACTGCCGAGAGTAACTTTAAAATTTTTCATAAATTTTACCCTCTTCATTACGCCGTCTCTTGGAAGAAGGGCCGTTATCCTCTATGGCCCTAATTTGCTGAGACGAGATTAACTTCCCTTTTCCATATCCCTCTGCTTTCATGAGCAGCATGGTATGCTTCACAGTCTGTTTAATAACGAAATGGAGCGGTGTGCGCTCTAGCATGGCCTCAAGTGCTGCGGTGGGACAAGTGCAAATTGCCGTGAAGACTTATCAAGGACTGCACTACTTTCGACGCCCAGACCACCGCTCTTTATGTAACAATAAGCCTCACGATCATGGTGTACAGCCATCTAATGATACTTGGCTTGCAACCCTAGAATATGCTGGCCAGGCGTCTGCACACCATGAGTGCCTTTGTGGCTTTGGGCAGCGTTAACTCCACGTGCCTGTTCCAAGGTGGAGCCTAGTGTGAGACCTAATTATTTAACCTTCTTAGACACCTCTAGCTCTCTACGGTTCTTAAGCCCAAAAGAGATCTTCTTTTAGTGAAAGGGATGACGGTTGTTTTTAACGGGTTAATGTTTAACCCTACCGTATCGCACCATCCCTTCGCTAGGCTTAAGCGCCTTTGGACTATATCGCAGAGAGTGTTCTCAAATTTCCCTCATCTTATGGAGTTCATCTACTACAAGGCTCCATAGAAGCGGGGACAATACCCCGCCCTGAGGGCAGCCTCTCGTAGTAACAAGACGTTTCATGCTCTCCCCCACCGTGGTTTCTGCTATCCTGGTATGCAAGACAACCTTTATCCATCTGCATATAGGAGCTTGTACGTTCCTTTTCTCCAGTGCTCTGATCACACTTGGACGCATTATCAAAAGCACCTTCAATGTCTAGGAAAACACATATCGCAACCTCATTATTCTCCAGCAAGTTCTGGATCTCAGATGATAGTTGGTACAGAGCAGTGTTAGTAGACCTGCCTGCTCTGTACGCGTGCTGATTTGCATGTAGGGTTGCGCATATTAGCGTTTTCGTTCTAATGTAGTTGTCTTTAATCTTTTTGATACCTTTTAGCATGAAAGAGGTAAGACTAATAGGCCTGAAAGATTTAGCCAGTGAACAGTCCTTCCTTCCTACCTTAGGTATTAAGATAACCATTGCTTTTCTTAACGGTGATGGGATGTAAGATAACGCAAGGCTAGCTCTCATCAGCCAAACAAGGTACGGCAATAAAGCTTTCCCTCCTTGCTTCAGCAGTGCTGGGAAGATGCCGTCAGCCCCTGGTGACTTATATTTCGAGAAGGAAGCCAGTGCCCACTTAATTGAGTCTGCATGTGTCCTAAGTAACTTACTTTCTTTTTGAACAGGGAATACTTTCTCGGACTCAGCTAAACAACTGCTAGCCATCCGTTGGAAAACCTCTGTCAGGTTCTTAAGGTGTTCATCGAAGCTTTTACGCAACACAATTATTTTAATACTTGTTCCAGAAGTGTCTCAAAGGTGGCAGGAGCATTATATCATCTTAAATGCTTTGCAGTGAATTGCTCTAGATCATCTCTAAGCCACTGCCGGTTTTACTCTGGCTTCTTCATTTACCTCCACTTGCCAATAAACACAGAATTTACATACATGTAGTAATGAGAATTAGTGAGTCTATGACCTTTAATATAAGTTAATAAGAAACTAAATATGAATATACTTATTTATTACACTTAATATTAATGCTTGCATATATCTTAAAATATGTATATACATATGTATATTCAATTACCAATTGGCACAGATGCTGTGTTTATGAATCTCAGTCCTGAGAAAACACAAGCTTACAGTAATGAAGACTTGAACTATTTAATGCACGTGGTTATGAAAGTTGCAAAAGCGTTCCAACCAACGATAATATTTATACAGGACGTTCACAGAGTGTTTTGGAAAAGGATTCCTAAAGAGCAAGAGTATTTGAATCCTCGGTTGCTTCAAAAAGTTATCAGCACGAAGATTTTAAAAACAATCAAAAAAGAAGATAAAATAATGCTTTTGGGCACAACGGACGCTCCATGGTCTGCAAAACCAAAAATGAGGCGTGTGTTTCAAAAGTCGTTATTGATTCCCAAATGTGATTATGGCACCAGCTTCCTACTTTGGCTAGAAGTTTTGGCAAATTATGCTGGTGATGATTCCGTTGATGATTACATTTACTCTGCATTAGCTAAGGTGTTTAAAAATTATAATTCCGGTGATGTCACGGATAATATTGCAGAGACTTTAGATGTGCGCCGCCGTATGAAATTGAAGTCGAAACCTTTAAGTCCTTTCGAGTTTTTAACAAACTTTATTGGCAGAAATCAATCAATATTTCCTCCAGAAGAGAAGGTAAATAGTAAAATGACTTAGTATATTTCATTAAAATTCAACATATATTTGTATAGTACATATTCTGATTGTTGGAAAATTAATTTGTTTCAGCTAATGGAAAAGTTCCAGAAATGGTACCAGAAATCAAACAAACTCAGTGTAGCAAGAAGAAAGTTTTTCAAGAAAAAGGATGAGAAAAATAAGAAGAAAAAGTAATCTTCTTGTTTTTAGTATGTCAGGTATATTTGTAAAATTTTGGTTATTTGAATACAAACACTCGCAAAACACTCCGCTCGCATTGAATCCCTTAAAGAAATATCAAAGACTATTAACAAAAAAAAAAAAAAAAGAACTACATACATTGTACTTACTTTTTGTGCATTTTTGTTCTGTTACATTTTGAAAATTTTCGACAAACAATCATCTGTCATATGTCTTTCAATTTTAAAGTTTTCAAATTTATTTTACAAGTATAAGTGGCTCCATCGCAAAATCGGACAAGAGTTTGCCTAATACTAATATTCTCCATACATAAAACCAAAAAGGCTTAATGTGTAGTTTTTGGCTTCGATTTACACTTCATATTATCGTCTGATTAAGTGAAAAAGAAAACTTAAATTTTTTTCAATATAAGCTGTCAATTTCATCAAAAAGCCTAAAACAATTCAATTTTTTGTGCTCAACGAATAATCGGACAAAACCAAATAGTGCCACTATATATATAAAACAAAAGCAGTCAATACTAAGTTGCATATCCCTTTTTTCCAGAATGGCACTTGACATGCAGCCTCAAACCTTGATAGAACCCCCTCCATGCTTTACCGTGGCTTTTATATTTTTATGATCAAATTCGGCATTTGGTTTACGCCACACAAACATTTTGCCATCTGATCAATGCAAATTAAATTTGCTTCATCTGTGGATAAAACCTTAAAAAAGTGAAAACTATCAAAATAAATGTATTTTGAGATAAAATAATGTGAAACTACCTGATTCCAAAAGTCTTCTGATTTTAATAAATACTCCTTAGCATATTTTAGCCTTTTGTTTTTATTTTAAAGGCTAATGGGGGTTTTCCTTGCAACTCTACCATAGTAATCGTATTTGTGTAACGTATTACGAACAATATTTAGGCAAACATCTTTTCCACTTCGAAATTTTAAAGAAATTTGCAGTTACTTTGCCGTTTTGAAAGGATCTTTTGTGACTTCCTTTAGTATAGAACGCTCTTCTCGCACAGATAATATCTTACCCTGACCTTCTCTGCTTCTATTGGCCAATCTGAACTCATCGTGAAACCTCTTGATCACATCATGGACTGTGTATTTGCTTCTTCCTACCAATTCAGCTATTTCACGCACGGTTTTACCTTCACCATTTAATTTCACTATTCGCTATAGTTGGACCGAGGTTTGCTTTCCTTTTGGATCAATTTTAAAAACAATTCTCAAAATTCTGAACTTCTCTAACACTAAATAAATTTTATTGCTAGTGAGATTTGTCCGATTATTCGTTGAGTGCAGAAAATTGAGTCATTTATGTTTTTCTACTAAAATGTACAGTTATCATAAAGGATAGTTGGTGTTTTCTTATTGATGAGTGAGATAGGGTTATGAAGTGTAAATAAAAGCGAAAAATAACACATTATGCTTTTTTGTTTTTATGTATACTGAACATTAATATTAGACAAACTCTTTTCCGATTATGTGATGGAGCTACTGTATATGATTTGCCAAAAAAATTCGTTTCACAATTCGTAAAAAATATATTTTATTATTAATAATAAATATCGTATGTCCTTTCGAATACCATAAGACATACATATGAGTACAAAGTTCCATGATGATCGTGTGTGTGATGTGGTTTCGGAGCGAAAGCGTAATAAACATACCTACATTCACATTTATAATATTAGTATGGATATGGATATGGCTTATTCACAATTTGAAAGATGCGTTTGATTTTTCTTTTAATTTCAGTTGCATTTGTCAAAACTTTTACATAGTGCTGTTGAAATACATATTTATAATAAAATACATGTACATATATTGTATATGTATGTATATACTTGTATCATCATACTTTCTTAGTAATTAGAAAATGCCTCAACGAATATATTAGGTGAATACGAAAAAATTGTAAAATATCTTTAGACCCGAAAATCAATATTCAAATAAAAAAAATTGTGACTGGTTAGCAGTAGATGCTACAATAGACAAGAGAAAGTGAAACAATTATTTTTCGATAAAAAAAAATTGATTTGGCCGATTTAAACTCAATAAGCTGTCATAAGAAGACGCTTTGGATAAGGCAGTGTTATGGTGTGGGCGACGTTTCTAGTAGATGGAAAGGCTTATTTTACTCGTATATGCGCCTTTGGTGGTTTCTAGATCATTAAATTCCTCTTCTGGAATTGTCAAATTGTAAACCCTGTTGCAATCATTGGGGTTACGATGGCACGAAAAATGTACATCCATAAAACATAAAAATTATGTTTTCGAATAATTATGGAGCTCAAATTAAAAGTCAAAAATATCATATCTGAAGTTGGGAACATAAAAAACCAAAGCCAAATAGAAAATACCGTTTTATTAAAACGATAAATTAAAAATATAAAAACTCTTAAATTTACACCTAAGTTATAGCACGAATGTATTTTATAAAACAATGATTTTAAATATGAAGAATAATAGTTTTGGCTTAAATAGGGATCTTACCACAAAGCGAAAAATTGTTATTATTGCCTTAGAGTAGCAACTTTAACTAGAATACTGTAAAATTTTCATGAAATTTCATTCAATGAAGTTATTGACATCAAGGTAGCGTTACTCCTCTGTTATTTTTGTCTATTGAACGACATTTGATGGTAATTAAATTTTAAATACTTAAACAAAGCTAAAATTTTAATGATTCATTTTCAGTTTCCAACAACAAATTTCTTCAACCAGTCAGTGTGATTAAATGACTAAGACCTATTTTCTATATTGCCCCTGCAAATTAACGTATTTCATAAAAATTAAACTATAATTTCAGTGACGTCATTTTGTGATTGAAATTTGAGTGCTTTCATTTAGATAATTATAAGTTAAACAGAGATCGCAAAATAATTTATACTCGAGTTCTGAGCGCATAACTTGGACACTATTTTTACTGATATTCCATGAAGAAGCAGTTCAAAAACGTGAGTATTTGTACTTCTTCTCTGAATTGGAAAAGTTATCCGCATAATCATGAAGTAAGTATATTCCGAAAACTACAAATTAACGTATTTCATAAAAATTAAACTGTAATTTCAGTGACGTTATTTCGTGATTGAAATTTTAGAACTTTTATTTAGATAACTATAAGTTAAGCAGAAATTGCAAATAACTTATACCAGTGACTCGAGCTCTGAGCGCATAGCTTAGACAATATTTTTACTGATATTCTATGAAGAAGCAGTTCAAGAACGTACGTATTTATACTTCTCCTTTGATTTTAAATAGTTGTCCGCATCATCATAAAGTTAATAAATAACCTTTTATCATAATATAATGGAAGTCTTTCAATCATTCATGCTTTTAGGACACGAGATACCATGAAATTTTAGATAAATCTATTGCTTAGTTCCAAGGCTATGCAATTAATTCCAATTTCTAAAGTGCATCATACTTACGGTATTTTTTGACTAGTACATCTTTTGGAAACCACAATATAAAACTACAGTCGTTTGTGGTGAATACGAGAAAAAATTTCCTGTCTTTTATTAACCTATAAAGACATAACAAATAATTACGTCCCTCAATCAAACATATGTATATTAAATAAAAATTAAGATTGCATGATAAAACTTGAAACACGTGTTCCTGGGCAGTCTGAGCGCGTTAGTATTGCAGAAGTGACGAAAAAGTGACGTTAATCGTTAAATTATGGCTTAACCCTTTTGGAAAGGGAATATGGCCCCGCCCTCTAATCTACATATCTTGTATAAGCAATACAAAACATAATAGCCACATCCATACCCCATATAACGGCGACAGAAATGTTAAATTTAATCGTATATAACAGAAAATGGGTCCATGTTAAAGTTTAATCTCATACCTCAGGAACCAATTAAGCTAAATTTGGCTTCTTGTATTACAGATTTGACTTGAGCGGAATCCGCCTACAATCACGCATATACTCATCAGTGACATAATTTTAAATTCTATATATAATATAGCTCAACCTATATATTAAGGTCTGAAAACTGGCATCTAAATATGGTCCAAATAGTACACTAGCTTCTCAAGTCCCCAAGAACCTAATATGAGAAGCTTCAAATTAAACTTTTTATCAACAACTAAATAATGGCTAAGTTCGGGTGAAATGGAACTTTTCATACTCTCACAATTTGCAAGGAGCTGGGGTAATACTTTTAGTTATTGGTCATGTTCATTTAATTTTGCTAGGACATCCCACTTACTTGAATTTAACCGGATGTTTTAAATTTGTATAGGAGGATTATTGTTGTTTTATACACAAAGGCATACTGTTATTACAGCGGGATCGATATGAAGTCAAAAGGAAGTTCGAAAATCTTTATATTACTTTCATTAAGGTACCTCATAGATTAACTCATATATTCGGCCAAAATCAACCATAGGCTCTAAGGTCCACATATTCGATGTCTGCAGACTTCAAAAGTTATGGGCCGATTTCCACTATTTTTAAACGTGAAACACCTTAAATACTCTTTGTATGCAAAGTTTTAATTCGATAACGTCATTGGAACTCGATTTAAATACTGTAAAGTGAAAGAATTATATGGAATTTAAATTGTGATACATAGAATGTAGGCGTGGTTGTAGCCCGATTTCAGAATGTGACTTGAAATTGGTTAAGTAGTTCCAGAGATATTTAATTTCACTTAAAGGCGGGCAGTGTCCCGCCAACTGTTCAATTTTTACATCGCTTCCCTTGACACCTCTACGTGCCATCTTTACTGTAAAAATGTATGACTGGCGTATTTATTTAATGAGTTATCTCATTTTTAGCAGTATTCAACATAGCCGTTATATGGGGAGTGGGAATAGTTCCGATTTCAATCATTCACACTATATGAGGAGGTGCCAAAAGCATTTTTTCGTAGCAAGTTTGGTCGATTTAGCTTGTATGGCTTGTGAGATATGTACATTAAACTTATTAGGGGTACACAGTGCCCCTTATTACTACGATTTTTGGGCGCGCCAATAATGCGATTCCGCCCATCTGCAATAGTAATCTCTTTGGGGCCAATTTTTATACTCTCGCAACATTTTGATACATAGTATAATAGTTTTGTTCACCTAACGGTTGTTTGTATCACTTAAAACTAATCCGGTTAGATATAGAGTTATATATAATATATATAAATGATCAGGATGAAGAAAATTGAGATATCTTTATGAATTTGGTACACATATTTCTTGGTACCGTAATACTGTTGGTATTGTAGATGGGCGTAATCGGACCTCTGTCACGCCCACAAAACGCCATTAATAAAAAACAAATAAATTGCTTGGTTATGCTCCACAATAAGATACAAGTAGTTATTTGGTATACAGGATCACGTTAGGAAGAGGCGTGGCCCCGCCCCCTAATAGGTTAAATGTGCATATCTTATAAACCGCTAAAGCTATAATAACTCTATCTATCGATAGTGTAAAAATGGGTGAAATCGGGTGACAACTCCTCCCACTCCCTAGATAACGGTACTGTTAAAAACTACTAAAAGCGCCATAAATCTGACACTAAACACGAAAGATACATTAAATATTATCTCTGGGGTTGTATGAAATGAATTTATGGGAAGCCCGTTCAAATTTAGAGAGTGGACGTGGCACCGCCCACTTTCAGGTGAAAATCCATATCGTGGAATCTGCTTAACCGATTTCAACCAAATTCAGTACATAATTTACATTCATCTTATATTTCTATGTTATAGTGCGAAAATGAGCGAAATCGGATTACAACCACGCCTATTTCCCGTATAACACCATTTTAAATTCCATCTGATTCCTTCACTTTCCACTATACATATCAAACAACGATGATCGGGGTGAATAATGCGTTTAAAGTATGCCACCTTGTGACCAAAAATTGTCTAAATCTAACCAAAACTGTTAAAGCCCCTGGGTACTGAATATGTGAACCCCAGTGCCTATAGTTGACTTTTTACTGAAAATATCGGTCAATGTGTACGATATATAATTGAAATTCATAAAAGAAATGGTGTTGTCAGTAAATAACTGAGGCAACAGTTCGTACTTCTAATTATTAAAATTCAAAATTGATGAATTAAGTCTATTTCACGAATTAACAAAAGTATTTACGTTTTTGTGTACAGTTTACACGCTGAGCAGAGAGCTTTTTTTCAACTCAAAAGAATTACGTCACAAGATATAAAACCATGTTAATCGTAAGATTTGGTTTATATTAAGCTCATTTATCGTAAAGTTTTGCGTGTTATGATGCGTTTGTTTACCAACGGTAAACGAGATATTTGCTGTAATTAAAAATTCAGTTATCGCTATCTTTGAAAATTTCAAACAAAGTCACTTCTTCGACGCCACCTTTTCAAATTTAAGTTTGAATTACGCGCCTCAGCATGCAAAGAGTATTGTATGTATCAACCTCTTGTCACTCATCCTATCAAGCTCCTGCTAGCTGTGATCACCTGTGATTTTATTTGTGAAAAATTGAACACCAAGTCTAGCGAGACCTAAATTTCGAGTTAACACTTTTAATGTCATTCTTGCCAACCTCGATTCTAAATTGTGGAGAAGATGCCAAGCATGTGAATTATTAAAGAAAAATTTGGCGTTATCACTGAATTCGGCAATCTAAATCCCGAAGAAATTCGTAAAATTTCTGAACATTTAAGGAAAATTTACGACTCGGTCCTCGAATTTTCAGTGTATGATGAGTTAATGCACTTTTACGCATTTTGTTCTGAAAAAAATTTGAAACGTATTTCACCCTTCGACCTTTTCAAACTCTTACGGATAAACGAGTTATACACTGAGTTTCCAAACATGAAGATAGCATATTGAATATTCATCTCATTAGCTGTCTGTAATACGAAAGGATTGACTACAACTTATCTTTCTTAAGCCATAACTTTGTTTGTCGACATTAAGATTTATTTACGTATAAATCTTTAAATTATGTGATTATTCTCTTATAATAATTTTAAAAACAATTAATACATTTTAACTATTGATTGTACAATTATTTCAGCTATGAATAAACTCATACTTAATACAGTTGAATTTGGTCTAAGCCTCAACCTGCAATATAACGGTATCCTCGCCTCCAGTTTCTTTTCCCTTATATTCCCAATATTTTAAATTTCATTTGAGTTTATATTACATACATATATCGAAATTGAGTTAATAGATTGGTTTTAATATATGTATATAAATATCTCGGTTGTAATCCATTTCCCCGCCTTTGCTTCTTATATGATATGTACATTGCGGGAATAAAAAGTTCGGTTACACTCGAACTTAGTCTTTTCTTACATGCTTTTTATTTGGTTCAGTAAAGGGGACTATGGCAACTAAAATTTATCCTTGGGCTCTATGAGATTACTTTTGAACGTAATTGGAACTTCATACAGAGTACTTTGAAATAGATACATAGAAACTGCGAATTCGTTTGGAAAACATTTAATATATTTATCATTTGTAAAATGTAATTGAAGATAAATTAAATCTAAAAAATCACTTATAGATCACTATGGCTAAGTATATATAATATGTATCAATTTGGAAAAGGTAGCATTATAGGCTAGTGCTCCAGATGTAATTTCTTATGAAATAATTCATACATTTAGTACGTTATATGTACATTCTTTATTTTTACTACTTATCAAACTAGTTGAAAACTTTTAATTTAGAATTTAGCTATGCATTCACATGGACATACCTACAGTTTAAAGCATTTTCACTAATGTGCTTAGTTAAAAATGTATATACATATATATGATTATATGCTTGATAAATTTCAGGTTTACCTCTGACTTATACCATACCTAAACACACATCTATAGATATACATACATATGTATGTAAGTATAGTACGCACAACTTACCACTTAAAAGAATTTTTCATATAATACATTTTCTTGCCATTCAATTTTAAACATTAAATTTAGATACATATGGTTAGTGGTTTTGGTTAAAAAATGTGTGTATGTTCCATAACTTTTCGGTAATGCGTATGTAGACACGCTTTGAATGTTTATGAGCAATTTGTTTTTAAAAAGTTTAAAATATTTTTTTAACCAATAAAATAAGTTCTCATTTATTTCTCTTTTGTTGTTTACAAAATAGACAAGTTTAGCATACAAGTACATACAAGTAGTATCTAGTATGATAGCGTGGGCAAAGATAAAAGTTTTAATATCGAAAGTAGTGATGCTTGCGTTGCGAAAAAGTCTTACGTTTTCACTTCACCTAATTATTTTACTTACTGAAAAAATTAAATTTGCATTTATTTTTTTATTAATAATAATAGTACTTCATTATAAATTTAGGTCAGTGCAGAAGGTTTTGAAAAAGAGTAAACAGTGAAAAAATTCATAGTAGGTTAAAACCAATTGGAAAATGAAGCTGCTTTTACTGCTACTATTACAAAAAAATAGGAATGAAAAAAGCAGGTTTGAATCATTTAGTAGAGTATTTTTTGGCATTTTTTTAGGAAACTTATAATATTATAGTATATATTTTTTACACCATCAGAAAGTATACATTACAATAAATACAAAGCTTACCGACTTATTTGAAAGTCCGCCGATATTTGACGTAAAATTTTCGAATGAAAGTTAGAGTCCTTCTCCGATATTAAATAAAGGTGAAAAAATAAATATTTGAAATGAAGAATGAATTTGAATTTTTCAAATAAATTTAGAAGTTATGGGAAAAAGATGTCAATACAAAAGTCGTAGATATTTCATTACCTACAGTTAGCCCAAATAAATTATATTTGTAGGACTTGTAGTTGTGCTGAAAATCGAGATAAACAGTTTTTAATCCATTAAAATTCAACCACTCCTCTTCCCTTCCTCTACCCCACCACAGATCGCTTGTAAATAATTTTTCTCTTCATTTTTGTTATCTGTTCTTTCTCTTCCAATGGATTTCAGTCTACTATGATTATTTTTTGTTTTAAAAATTATCTACCTTGGTGTAATTTACGTAGATTTTTTTTAAAGTAAAGTAAGCTTCTCATGAGCCCTCTTTGTTATATTTTCTGATAAATCCAATATAAGTCCAAAAAAATTAAATTGTAGTCGTAAATTCAAAGACTTTGCGCTAAAGTCATCTGATGTGAAAATGTTGTATATATAATTTAATTGTTTAAAAAGGTAAAATTTACACGAAACTATTATATAACTACAAGTATATAGAATTTCAAGATTGTCCCCAAACATATTTTTTTATTAATAAACACCAGTACTTCCTTATAAATTTAGGTCAGTGCAGAAGTTTTTTAAAATGGTAAACAGTGAAAAAATTTATATTATTGATATGTTCGAATATTAAGAAGAATTAATAGAAATTCAAAATTACACACTAAACGTTTTTACAAACAAGGAAAATGTATTCTAAATTATTATATCTTTGTAATAGAATTTATTTATGGCTTCTACATATTTATGTTTGTTTGTCATTAATTCCTTTGTTTTTATTGTTTTACATACATACTTATATATACTTCATATATGCCTTATTTCAAGAAGACTATGCAATTTTTTTAATCTATAAACTCTCCCATTTTGAGAAAACAAAAAAATGTTACTTAGTTATTTAATTGATTTATAATTAACCCGCCATGTATTTTAGTTTTGTTTTGCAAAGGAACACAATACTCTTTAATGCATTTTAAATTATCGCATGTTCTTGTAGGTACTACAATATAATAAATAAATAAATGCGTTAAAAGAGCGGCTTAAGTTGAGCGTCTCTGGTTAGAAGGATTTAATGATTTATTGGCATGGCATATTATGTACAAATAAAGGGTGTTTCGATTATACATGTGGTTTTCAAGAAAAATAAAACGCATATAATTTGATGTTATGGCCAAGAATTTAGCTTTACTATAAAAATTAGGGTTTGCCATTATGTTTCAGAAATGACTTCGGACAAGTGATCCCGCGGCTGGCTCCAATAAGTTCCAGCCAATTTTCGACCACTTTTTGCAGCAATTGGGCCGTATATCAGAAATAACACGCCGAATACGAGCTTATCTGCATAGTGAAGCGTATTCACGTAACCCCACAAAAAATAGTCCAGCAGTGGGCACACCAAACAGTGAATTTTTGAGGATGCAACGGCGTCTAAATTTTGTTTATTAACATTATAATTCAACCAAACGTGAGCTTCATCGCTGAACAAAATTTTCTTATAAAATTATTCGCCGAACGTGCGACGCGCGTTAATGTCGTTCAGATTCAATTCTTGCACGAGTTTGAGGTTGTCAGATTGCAAACCAAGATCCTTCCGAAAAATCTTCCGTTCGTGGATAGGCACAGCTCCAATTGTTGCGCGCGATGGGGGATGGACTCATTCGGGTCTTCTTCGAAACTCTACTCGAGCGTCTTCGGTGCACACTGTACAGCGTCTATGATGATGCGCATTATTCACTAGAGTAAACGTGGTATAAAACCGATCCATGATTGCTTGAATTACGAAATCTGCTGTGCGATTATGTCGACCGAACATTGGACTACGGCACCAAACCATTATTTTGGTAATAATTATCACGATTTCCAAACCTTTCATTTTAAAATCCCTAACCCAACTGAATATTAACCAAGTAACAGCAGTCAAAAAGACCAAATCCGCAAAAAGTTTGAATCATTGAAAACCACACGTCTAAAAAAACACCCGTTATAATGAGTGCTTAGAGTTTTTTGAATGTTGTGCTTTCCTCTGTTTTGTAACGTTCTTTTTGAATATTTCAACAAATGGGCGTTCCATAATGTTTAAAAAATCTACTCAAGGCATTTTATGAGAGGAAGGTATAAACTTGTGTGTTTAACACATCCTGACTCGAAAATCTAAAAGTTAGGCATTCAACAAATATAATTACAAGTTCTGTTAAATAAAACCTTAACAAAATATTGTTATTATTCTCTCAATTCTGATTCATTTAATTTTTACGCAGGCAAAACATTTTAACTGGCGGGTATATAAACATATGTGCGAAAATTACCTTGAACAACTCCTTCAAAAATCAAGCAAACTTACAGATAATGGATAGGGATATTTATATATATGTATGTATACGTGTATAAAGTGAGCATTTATACCATATACAAGTATATCCTGTATGGCCGGCATAATTTTTAATTACATGAAAAATTATTTTGTAGCAAATACTATGTATGTATAATCAACTATGAAATGCATTATGCATTGACATATTATATACATACATACATACATATATGCATAGGTATGTGTCAGAATTAAAATTATTAACAAATGGTACATTTATAATAAAAATAACGGCTTAATCGACATTAAAATTAAAGTTACGCTCGATGAACTAATATTTGTTTTCTTTTACTTAAGTTTATACTTTGTTTCGTTTAAAACGTTTTTCTTTTTGTGTTTAATAAAATAAAGCGAATCCGGCCTATCATTTCTTGTCACTATCAATTTTGTTTTTGTCCAGCGAAGAGGACACCATACCTCCACTATTTGAAGGATATAATTTATCTAAATAGTTGAGTGATTCATTGAGAAAAGTCTGAAATTAAATAATAGTAACATTAGTATTTTGCGATTAATCATCTATATTTATATCGGAGTGAACGTTACTTGGAAAGCATGTAGTACGGCCATTATAGCAGGAGATCCAAACCCATGAGTAATCAAAGAGAAGTGTGTGAGGTGACGCTGCATGGAGGGTTCCAGTAAATGTTGTGATCGCGTGCCATATTGTGTTGTGCGATCTTGGCTAAGTACTTGCATTAATTCCTTTGTTATCTATATATGTATATTATACAAAATAAATACATACTTATATGTAGTACTTGTAGTTAATCTAAGTATGTAAAGAAAATAAATTAATTCTAGAACTAAATTATGGTTTATATGGAATGAAGTACTTATCAGAATAAACCATACATATATATATGTTGATTAAAGAAAAGAAAATATATCGCATGTATTAGCTGAAATTAGTTCGTATGGTTCTACTGTCAATTGAATGGAATTAACTCATATTAAAATAGACGGTTTTTTCGGAAAGGCACCATTAAATCTCATTTAGTTACTCTTGCTATCAATATATCGTATAACTGCTCTGACAATAAAAGATACACCCTAACCTAACCATAATATAGTATATCATATGTGAGACCCCGCTTAAAGCTGTTTCGGTTTAGCGTTCATTTATTTTTAACCGGTTATTCCCCGAAATTGTGCATCCATGCCAAAGTTAAGAAAGAGCGAAGGCATTTAACAATCTGAATGAAATAGGGGAATTAGCAAAACAAACTGGTCTGGATGAGTTAAATGTGGAAGACGTCGAATAAATAGTCGAAGAAACAGCAGCTAGTCTTTTTTATAATGAGCAAAAGGAATTAGCTGAGCAAGAAACAGAAAACAAAAAGAACTTTCGTTGGTATTTGTAAAAATGAGTTTGACCACTATAACTCAAATTATGGATCAATTTATTGAAAATGATCCAAATTTTGACAGAAATTCAAAAGCAAGACGGGGTGTTATAGATGCTTTATCCACTTATCAACAGCTTCTAACATAACGCAAAAGGAAGACACTAATCACAAATATATTTGATGCCTTCTTGACAAAAAAGGCAGATAATTTGAAACACAAAATAAACTGAATGATCTGACTGCGTTAGAGTTTTATTTGGTTTTTTAAGTACATTTATATACACAAGTATATATGTTTAGTTTTTAATTTTGAATAAAATATTTGTTTGGTTTTTTATTTTTAAAAACTACAAAAACGAAAAATTTTGTACAATATTTAAGTTATAGTTTTACCTGCTGTGAATGAATAAGTAGTTCTTTCCGGCGATAGGATTCTTGGGGTTCTGTTTGATGTCTTATGACGTATTCAGCTAGCTGACGAGCTGGAAATTCAGTTTCACAAACGAAATGAAAATCTTTTGCCAGATGAGTAGCTTCGCCCTCTACTAAGGACGTTAGTAATGTGACATTGGCAGCCTTCCGTCTTCCCGCAGGTAAATTTAAACCAATTTTTTCAAGCTTTTCTCTTAGTAGGCGTCCACCGTTCTTGCTCTTAGCTCTATTAGAGTAAAAATATAATAATATAAATAAGTAAGGTATGTTCATGGGCAACCGAAAATTGTATACATATATAATATGTTTTATGTTCGGAATATTTATACATCAATCTAACTAACTCATATCATTTTATTCATTATACAAAATTAGGTAAATTAAAAAGAAATCCATTAGTTTTCCAGTAGATGGTTTTAGTAATATGTATCTCGCGTTGTATAAGTGCGATTGGGCTACGCAATACTTGTATGCCGTTAGAAAGATGCGATTTCCTACCATAAAACTTTTCTCTGACAGTACTGTGAGCGCTTGACTCAGTATTGTCTGAACACGCATCAAAAGATGGACGCAAGCAAAAAAAACATACGCCATATTTTACATTTCTTTTTCGATAAAAGTGAAAACGCAAGCCAAGCCGCTGAAAATGTGAAAAGTGTTTATGGTTCTGATACTGTAGGAATCAATGATGCACCACATTCCGAAATTGTCGATAATTTCGATAAAATAATGGAAATCGTTTAGTATGACGGTTGGACTAAGCAATGAACCCAGGACTCGGGAACTTTGGTACCATCTAAATGAGGTTGCATATCGATTTATGGATGCCATACGTTAAGGTAAAAAAATCATAGACCAAATTTCTATTTGCGAATCACTGCAAACTCGCAACAAAATCTATCCATTTCTGAAGCGGGTGGTTAATGGTAATGAAAAATGGGTCATTTACTACAATGACAAGTTAAAACGGTCATGGTCGAGTTACGGTGAGTTGGCGCAAACGGTGGTCAAGCCAGAACTGACTGTGAGGAAGGATTTGCTGTGTGTTTGGTGAGATTGGCTGGGAATCATCTACTATAAGCTTTTCCACAACGGCCAAACTCTCAATCTGGATCTGCACTGTCAACAATTGGACCGGCTGAAGTAAGCCATCAAAGTGGCCAAATTTGGGTAACAGGAGAATAATTGTGTTCCATTAGGACAACGTCAGGCCTCACACATCGGTAGTAATTCGCCAGAAGTTCCGGTTGGGATGATTATCCATAAAATCAGCTTATAGTTTGGTTCTAGCACAAAGTGATTATTGTCTGTACCTGCCTATGACGAATGATTATGTTAGTGAAAAATTCGCCTAAAGAGAAGCTTGTTGAAACTGACTGACCCAGTTTTTGGCCAAATGGGACGAGCGGTTTCTTTGAAAGTAGCATTATAAAATAACCTTCAAAATTACAACAAGAACCAAACCTTTGCATATTTCACCTGAATCGGATAATTGTAACTATGGTAAATAAAAATTTCGTCCTAATGAAAAAATAATGCATTTCTGTTTCCTAGATCAAAGTAAAGGTCACATGAGTCTTGTCAAGCTGTCATGTTATTTTTGCTATATATTGTTTGGCATTTCATTATGGAAAGACTTTCTTACGATTGAATAACGTTCACAAATTGTTCAACTTAATACGAAAATTCACGTTCTGTAAAGAATGAGCTTCCCGCGCTTCGCTCAACTTATGGTCAACATACTAAGCGTATTATTCGCAATACCATTACCCATCTTGAGACCCAGCATTCATTAACGGATAATATTCGACCGAATAGACCAGGTCCAGCACGCAGTGAAGAAAATATAACGGCCTAGCTGAGAGTGTACACGAAGACCGTGGAGAGTCGATTTGGCGCCGTTCGCAGCATCTCGGACTGACGTAAGGATCGACTTGGCGCATTTTACGCCGATTTCTTAAATTGAAAGCGTACAAAATACAGCTTGTGCAAGAACTAAAGCCGCTCGACCTTCTCAAGCGGCATCGCTTCCCTCTATGGGCTCTTGAAAAGTTTCTGGCTAAGTGGGTATGTAAACAAGCAAAATTGCCGCATTTTGCACGAAGAACAACCGAAGAGATTCAAGAGAATGACTTTTGGATGAACAAAACTTTTTCCTTTATATTTCGAGAATATAATAAATTAAGACATATTAGTGTATAAAAAATATTTAAGCTACCAACCTTCGAAGAACTCCACCAAGTAGAGACGCATTTAGACATTCTGGAGGTGATAACCTTCGTTGAACTTCGGCAATTGTTACTTTGTATTTGGACGTGCTGGATAAAAGGCTAAGTCGTCCCGGAACAGCACAAAATACCTCACTAGGGGAACCGGATCCAATATTTCCAAGTTCTTTCCCACTTTTAATACCTTTAATGAGATATAAAGAAAAAATTGTATTTAACATAATCCTCTTTTGATGAACTCATGTTCGCATATTTTGTACATAAACATGCGTTTAAATATTGTAATACAGTATTGGGAAACACAAATCGGGCATCTTGGTGATTTGTGCTACAATCTTTTTCTTTATTGTTCATCCCAAGTTGCTTAAGAAGTAAGGACTTCACATAAGAGTTAATATCGTAAGTGAATCTAAAATTTTTGTCATATTGGATCAAACCAATTTTATTTTTATTTAAACTTAAACATTTTTTTTTTCTTATAAAACCACTCCATATCTGTTTGGTTTGGTAAGAATCAAAGACATTTGTTTACCAACTTTCATAAATTGTTATTATTTCTTTAATATTTACGTAATATACATATAGAAACATCTTTATAAAATTTGGTATGAATCGGACAACTATATGATTACGAACACATAGAATCTATTTTGGCCTTGCAAATACTACATGTAAGAAAAATGGTCAAGATAGCAGACATTTATTTATAACTTTCAAATAAAAATCACTTTTCCTGAAAAATTAATTTTATTTGATAAATATATATTGCCTTAAAAGTAATAACAGACAAAACATATTTAGTTAGCTAAAATCTGACACATCTTTATTTAAGAGTATCCTAATCATTTATAATCCAAATAATAAAAACTCTTTGAAGATGGAACTGAATCTTTGGAAAGCATGACGATAAGCGGATCTGATTAAAAAAAGAGTGAATCCGCCAAGCCTTCCATAGTGTTTTCGCGCGAGTTTTTTCGAGTGTGGCGGAGCCGAAAGGTTCTTATTAAATTTTAATATTTAAGATTTAAGTTTGTTTTTTAAACTTTCTTCAGAGTTTAAAAAACATAACATTTTAGTAGCACTTCCCTTGCTAGAGTGATACAAGCTCATCTCACGGAATTCTTTTAGAGATGACTGAAATTTTTTTCTTCTTTGTTTTTTCCTGGCACTCTTCAAACACTATTTCGGGTCGCCCACCTTTTGAGTTGAGGCCCACCAATATAATTTTGTCATCTAACCATTCCTTGTTTTTTTTTTCAAAGTTCTTTCGAGTTCGATGGTTTTCTCTCCATTTCGAGGTCAACTTTTTGGTGAAATTTGCAATTTTCCCTGCTATTTGAAGCCGTAATTTCTTTCACATCTACTTGTTTCAGTTATATTGCTTTAGATGTATGTGTGCACCGCTAGAAGTTTTTTGGAAGACTTACTTTCCTCATGCCATACTGCATATAGCACTCCCTTGGACACTAACATTGTTGCTAAAAAATTCAATTGAATTACATTATGCAAACCACTGCAACTCATTTTCGATATTGCAACTCATTTTCGAAACATTCAACTAAGTATACCCTGAACAGGATATATTAAGTTTTCCACGATGTTTGTAACACCCATAAGCAAACGTCTGAGACCCTATAAAATATATACATAAATAATCAGCATGATGAGCTGAGTTGATTTAGCCATGTTCGCCTGTCTATCTGTCCGTCGGTCTGTATATATACAAACTAGTCCCTCAGTTTTTAAGCTATCAATCGGAAATTTTGCAAATGTCCTTTTCTCCCTAAGAAGCAGGTCATTTGTCGGAACGGCCGATATTGGACCACTATAGCATATAGCTGCCATACAACCTGATCGCATGGATTATTATTTAAAACAAAAATGTAATCTCCGAAAAAATTGCTCAGATCAGATCACTATAGCATATAGCTGCCATATTAATTGAACGATCTGAATCAAGTTCTTATAAAGAGCCTTTGTATTTGTGAAGGGTATTTGGTGCAACCGAAATTAACATTTTTTCTTGTTTTTGAAATAATATTGATACCGAACCCAATCGAAATCCGGAAGTTCAGCTCTATCAAATCTTAAATTATTAATAAATAGTAAACCTCGTACTCATTAAAATTAACATCGATTTATAGAAGGAAACATAATCACAGGTCACAAACTCTTTGTTTGTTATTTACTACATACCTTTAACCTTATGAAAACGCAAAAAATAAAATTGAAATGTAATTAAAATAAATTCTATAATAATTGCAGCAAGTAGTAAAAAATGGAGGGAAAGTTGTTGACTGTAGCTGATGGAACACTATTTATGTTTGAAGCATTACAGCTGTGTGAATATTGAGATCAAAACAAAACGAAACGTTGTTCTGACCAATCGGATATATTAGTAATTGATTACAAGACTCCATAGTCGCAAATTCGAAACGTTGTTCTGACCAATCGGATATATTAGTAATTGATTACAAAACTCCATAGTCGCAAATTTTTATTTTGAAAATTTAGTCAATCGCTGCTAAATCAGCTGTTTCTATCACTGTGGGGCCGTTACAAATTTCGTGGTAAACTTAATATATCCTGATCAGGATATAAAAGTAACAAGGTGAGGTCAGTTTTTAAGATATCTGAATGAAATTCAACACATAGGTGTATTTTGACATTTTATTGATCATTTGTCGGAATCGGCCAGATCGAATAACTATATCACATATCTCTCATATAACCGATTATTTATTTATTTTATTTTCCGGTTGCCTTTAATTAAAAAGCTAAGAGAACGTGATTTTTCAGAACTGTTTTCTGTGATTGTTAAGTATATATTATATTAGACGATTATTCTATATAATTACGATATCTTAGCTTTTTGAATAAAGGCATTATAATGGGAAAAAACTGAATAATATGGTCGGTTATATGGGAGATATATTTGTCCGATTTTGTTTTCCCTGTGTTTGTTAAGTATATATTAGAGAGTTCTGCAAAAAAACGTGCTTTTAGCTTTTTAATTAAAGGCAGGCAACCGGAAAATAAAATAACTGAATAATCGGTTGTATGTGCGAAATGTTCAATAGAATATTAAATGACTTTTGACTCTCTGTAAATCAACCCACTCTAATGTACATACTTATATTTATATTTGCATATGTATGTAATCATATTTCTCTAACGGTGAGTACATGTTGCTTGCATCACAGGGATGAATACGTTAAAGTACGAGCAAAAGTATAAACATGAAAGTGCAGATACGTCGATTGTACATATAAACATATATATGAACAATTGAAATAATATTTGGGGCGTTTGTTTAAATATAATTATGCCAATTAGTAATGTGCGAAGATAGGTAGGGGTTCTTTTGTACAATACCTGTGAAATATGATTCAAAAAGGAATCTAACACCAGGTGTGTGTTTGTTTATTCCATTTTTCCTCATACAAACGGCATCAAAGTTTCAGCCACTTTCAAGAGGATAAATACTATAAACACTAACAACATAAATATATAAAGAGTGAATGCAACTGCGCTATTGTGGATATTGTGTATCGGATCTTATTCCAATTTCATAATGCACTCGTGTTTAAATTTCGTTGTTCCGAATTTTACACTCTTCGATATTCACAGGAATATCAGATTATTTGGTGTTAAATAACTTAAGCTTGCTACGAGTACCATAGTAAAGTGTTATTACGGTATATCTTTAGACAAGTATTGTTAATTTTCATATTGTGCAGTTTTGAGCCGAAAATATTCATTCATTAAAATAAAATTTAAACCTTGAATATAAATAAATATAAAAAGAATAATCACGTAAAAAAACGAAAACTCAACCTGGCTTCTGTTCATATGAGCAGATAATAACTGAATATACCATACATCTTAGTAAACGATCATAATAATACTTACTTTTAATTAGAGGTAGATCTGACATAAACGCGACATTATCATCTATACCGGGATTTTGGACATCATCAACAGCGTTCTGTAGTGCTTGATGTAAGGCTAAGGGATCATGTTCATGAGCAAGCCTACCACCATGTGTGGCACCTCCTGATAAGGTGCTACCATAATCTGCTCGTCTATCTGTATATGGGAAGCCATGCGACAGCTGCGCCTGCAAACAATATTTTTGAAATTTGAATTTAAGAAATATACAAGTACTTTTTTAATAGATCTGGACACTTTATATTTTTATTTTTGTCTTATACCTTATAGGTATCACATTTGAAACATTGATAACATTTCCAACGACTAATGTTGTTAATTCTATGATTAGCTTTAATATATACATATTAATTATAAAAGAAACACAATTTCTTTTAGTTTTTTGTCAGTTATCGTTATAACTTTTTTTCTATATAAGTACTGAAAAATTGGAATAAGGATTGTTTCTAAGCTATTTAAAGAAAGGCAAAAATATAAATTGATGATTTATTATTAAAATACATCCCTTTAATCAAACTGTATATTTTACAAACCGCTTGACCTGCCCATACATAATTCGTAATAAGTGGTGCCTTTGATATTATATTCTAATATTCTGATTTGCATCTCTTTTTTTATTGGTTAATTTGAAAAAAATGTACTGCTTTTAATCAAGCCCATGGAATGCCATTTTCGATCCCGACAGCTAACATAACATAATTTAGCACAACTAGTGAATCCTAGTTCGTAATAACTCCTTTACAAAAATAAGTTTTTGTTAGTGTGTAATACTCATGGAAATAGTGTTAGTAAAGTGTTAATAATCTTAATCGGTGAAAATTCCGGAAATCTTTATTCACGAATGTAACAGTTTTTTAAAAAACAAGCTTCGGCAACTCAATCCAAAATAAAATGCATATAAATATTAGGAAAAAATCGTTACACTTAAGAGCTCACACGTGGAGAGATGTGTCTAAAGACCTATTTTTCAGAGTACCAAGCGAAAAAAATTTTCGGATTTTTGACCCACCCTAATACATATGCATATAAAATTATAGAAAAACGTAAAGTAGCTGAATTAGAATTTTACTGACGTGATCATGAAACTGATTGTGAAATTGAAATCTGAATCTGATGCTCGCCAAAGGTAGAGCTATTTTTATACTCTCGCAACATGTTGCTACAGAGTTTAATAGTTTTCTTCACCTAACGGTTGTTTCTAACACTTAGAACAAATCAAGATAGATAAAGAGTAATCTTTATTATATGTATATAAAATTAAGTCCATACTTACCCTAACCCCATATACCTAATATAAGACTTTCAAACTTCCGGTTGGATTTATGCCGTATATATATCGGCCAATATGTAACTAAAAATAACCTAGTTTACTGCCTGAAATGTATGAAATTGTTAACTTCATAGAATTGCGTGAACTAATGTTCCCAAGTATACTTGTAATGCCAAAACTTTATGCGATCAGTCCAAACCTGCTAGCCCTAACATACCCAATACAGCTGTTATCTTTATACCCTGAACAGGGTATATTAAGTTTGTCTGGAAGTTGGTAATAGCCGGAAGGAAACGTCGGAGACCCTATAATATATTTATATAAATTATCAGCAAGATGAACTGAGTCGATTTAGCCATGTCCGCCTGTCCGGCGGAATATATGCGAACTAGTCCCTTAATTTTTGAGATATTGATCTGAACTTTTGTATACGTCTTTTCTGCTCAAGTTGCTCATTTGTTGGAACCGCCGATATCAGATCGCTATAGCAAATAGGTGCATATAAATTGAATGATCAAAATTAAGTTCTTGTATGGATAATTTTTTGTTTGAAGAGATATCTTCACGAAATTTGTCATGGAATATTGCTCAAGACGATGCTATAATATTCAGATCGGGCCACTATACCTTAAGCTGCCATTCCAGCTTCGTAAGGAAAACGTTTTTATTTGTGAAGGTTATTCTAGCTTTGGTATAACCAAAGTTTACGATCTTTGTGGTTTGTTTTTTGTTTTGAAAAGTTGTAATAGTTATGGTTTTACAATTTATAAAATTGGAACTAGTAAAAATAATTATTCTAGCAAGCACTATTTTTCAAAACGTTTTAGGTAAAAACTACGAAGCTTGCTTTCCAGAAACTAAGTTATACAACATTAGTTAGTTTGTTATAAGGTCGTAAGTATAACTTTGAGATGTTATAATTTTAAAGTTGTTGGTTAAATGTAACTCATTTTAAAATGTACATACGTATGCTTATGTAAGTATGTACACTTTACCTCACAAATTTGTAATTATGTTTGTTCGTGTGTATATTTATTTCTAAGTTTTTATATTTGTATAAGTAAATACCCACTTTGGCAGTATTTGGTGGAGGAATTTTTCCAAAAAGTAGTAATATCAATGCTTAAGATTAAGGGTTGCTAAAAGTAATTTACCAACCAATCCCGCTTAAGTAGATGTGATTGTTTTGTCTTTATAAGTGGGGCAACGAGGTGGTCTCGAGTCGAGCAAAGTAACTTACCCCAAAGGAAATTCCGTAAATAACTTGTTAATAAGTATGAACCTTAAAATGGAATAGGTAAAAATATTTTAAGTATTCTGTTTGGAATGTTTTCTTGCAGCGCAGAATGCAGCTAACAAAAAAGTATAGCGGTCTTTATGGCATGAAAATAAGCTTAACCACACTTCATACATATTTAAGTACTTGCTTATAAATAAATATGTAAAGGGTGCATTTTTAGACAAGTGGTTTTCAAGAAGAAATAAAACGCTTATGGCCAAGAATTTAGCATTATTATAAGGAAGTGACCCCGTGGCTGGTTTAAATAAATTCCATCCGAGAGCAGAAATACTCGACCACGTCAATTGGGGCCGGATATCAGCGGTGTTAAATCGCTTGTCCACATCAACATCCTCCAATTCAGGCACGAGAAAGTCATTAATATGGAGCGTGTTAATAACGATCAATGATTCTCTCTGCTCATACAGCACATAAACCAGTAACTTTTTGAAGATGTAACGGCGTCTCAACAATGGCTTGTGAATTATCATTACTCCAAATGAGACAATTTTGTTTTTACATATGTTACTCGTAGCCATTGAACCAAAAGTCAAATTCATCGCTGAACCAAATTTTCTTGCGATGCGTCGCGCAAATCGAACAATCTTTTGGTAATAATTAAAGTTCTTTAACTGGCGCCCAAGCAGGGACCATCCCGCGAATGTAATAAAAAGGTGAAAAAATCAAAAAGTACGGTACGAGTGCACCAACAAATATAAAATTTTAAAGAAAAAGTACCAGTACCAGAAGGAAAAAGGACAACAACGAAACGTAGAACACCAATCAATGGGAAGCTGCACACTATTTATATAAGAAATATTTTAAACGTTTAATATTTACTGTTTAACTGTTATTATACAAAATTGAAGTTGAAAGAAAATTAAGAAAAGATGATTGCAATTGATTAAAGATAATTATTATTATAAAAAACCAGATTGTTATAAAAATCTCTACTACTTGTATTTATAAAATTTTATAAAAAAAGATACTTGTCACTATAGAACACAAAAAAAGTAAATAAGCGATATGCCAGACACTGCTGAAAAGCTAATTGAGCAACTGAATCAGATGAGGATAGATTACAGTGAAACCCCGCATCTCTCACATATTCCTAGACCTAATCCTACGATAGTAACCACAATAGTTAGAGAGGTTCTTAAACAAATAAACTCGCAGAATGTTACCGGCCACAGCGTTACACTGAACGCACAAAACTCCTGACATGGTAAAATGCCTTAGGGAATTTGCAGGACGACCAGCAGAATTTAACTCTTGGAGGAAGAGCGTTGACAAGATTTTTTAGGCATACGATGGGGTCAAGCACACCCGTAAGTACTTTGGCATATTACACACTATTAGACATAAAGTAGTTGGTGATGCCGACACTGCATTGGAGTCGTTCAATACTCCACTCGAATGAACTCAAATTTGGAAATGCCTCATGATACATTATTCGGATAAAAGAGACATAGGTACATACCAAAAGGTATACCATGCCCTTTCTTTTATACTAGACAAAATTGCATATCTTGACTTAAGTGACTAGTCCATAAGGACTATGACTAATTCATACCAGGACAAAGCCCTAGATATATTCATTAGAGGATTAACCGGCGATTTACCTCCTCTTCTCAGCATGCGAGAACCGACAACCTTGCCTCAATCCCTACATCTGTGTCAAAAATTAGACAACATGACCTACAGAATGAATCATGCGCATAACACGCATAAACCAACCACGAAATCGTTATCCCCAATACTCTTATGCTTCTCCCGCCTAGCTCGGCAATCTACCGTCCCACGTAATAACTATAATTACACGCAAAATATTCACACCAAGTTTCAATAACCCTCATACTCCGCTAGAATTTAGAAATCAATCCAATACTTCCTTTAATAACAGACCGAACTTGCACCAAAAGCACCGACTCCGATGGAGGTGGACCAGTCAATAAATTCAAGATAGGTTAACTACCAAAATAGACCTGGTGCCTTCCAAGACAACTGACCACCGAAACGTCCGCTTTACGTACAAATAGCTTATTCTCCAAATAAAATACAACGAAATTTCCCTAGTAACACGGAAGGAAAAGATTCAAACGATTATCACGAAGGAACAGAATCGAACAGAATTTCGACGTTTCTCATAACAGTTATGATACCACAAAACAAAATTACCTTAATACTATTCATTTTTTTTAAAAAAAATGCCTTCGCTTCATTATTAAGAATTTAGAACTAAGCGCGGAGACACAGAAGATTTTCTGATTGATACTGGATCTAATAAGAATTATATCCAATCAACTAGAATTAGGGCCCCAATTTTGAACGAAAAGCCCTTTACGGTAAAAACAGTTGCCGGAACGATTGAATTTGCGCACCACACCTTCGTAGATATTTTTAGACCAACAGAAGAAAAATAAAATTTTTCATACTACCAACTCTTAGGTCGTTTCATGGCATAGGAGGTAACGACACACTTAAACAATCGAAAGTAATCATCCATACCTATAAGAATTTGATGACAATTTGCCAAAATATAAATATAGCGCTGAAGCAGCGGATATCACACGAAGTCAATAATGTCGGAATCGATATTTCGCATCTCTCGCTAAAACAACAAAATAAAAAAGCTCACCTACACCATTCCCGTTAACAATGAAATACGAACAACAATCGAACGCTAAGTCGAAGAACTTCTTGCTAACGGAATAACAAGTAGATCGAAATCTCCATAGAATTCCCCAATATGGATCGTTAGCAAAATATCAGACTGGTTATGTTCAGTTCTTGTGATAAGTACTAATTTTTAAATTCGCAATAGATAAAATTAGTGAAATAACAAATATTATAAATAATATAGTTATTTTAAAACTATACATAATGAAAAATAATTATATATGTAGAAATAGAATCATTCTTACAGTTAAAATATAAGTTAGAAATAATTAAAGAAGAAGTTTTGAATATCGCATACGCAATACATTAAACAAGAACCAATATAATAATCTCGTTTATCTTCTCAAATGAAGAATGTTGCAAGAAAATTAAAGACAATGATGACATTCCATATATAAATTTAGATGAAGCTCTTGAATTTTCTGAAATAAAAATTCCGACTAAGAGCAAAATTATAATTTATTCCCACCGTGGATAATCAAATTTGTACAACAACAGACTTTAGAGCTGTAAAAATGGAAGAATTAATGAAATCAATTTTAATACAATTCGAAATTGCGAAAAGACAAACTATGGAATAAAAATGATTGTAAAAAGTACAACTTCTTGCAAATATGTTTAAATAATAATCTAGTAGATTTACATAAGGATTTATGCATCAATAATCTTCTAAAAAGTCGTTTGCCAACCTGCACGGAGGTCAAAAATCAACATATTCTAACCTTAGAGGAAATGGGAAATTTTTTTTCAACAACAAATCTGCAACATTAAAAAATAGTATATAACGAGAAAAGAACATTAAGTAAACCGGAAATTCTACAATATTCATCCCCACCAACCAATATCGAAGAAATCCTCTCGCTGGAGAACACCTTAACTTTAATACACAAAAGAAGTAAGCTCAATAAAAACAGAAAAAAGGATAAATCATCAATAATAATGACAGTCCTAATTTTTGGAAAATACTTTATAAGTGAACCCACAAAAAATCAATCCATCAAATTAATGCAACGGGCAATCGATGGACTCATTCAAATTTTCGACAGACCCAAAGATTCAAACGAGGACGTTTGAATTCCAGGGGAAAATTAGTTAGCACGCCACACATTCAAAAAGTATCATATTATTCATTTATATCATATGATACAAAGTAATGCAATATGACACAAGCCAAATCGCTGATATTGCGACGCGTGCAGTACGAAACTGTGGGAAGCGCAAGATCAGCGTATTACATCTCCGTTGGAGCAGAAAACTTAGGTTTAGAGTTAATAATAATTAATTGTAACTTTTACTTCTTATTAGGGCTTCAATAAAGGACCATAGCTTCCAAAATATATTTTTTGATAAAAATAAAATAAAAGTTTTTAAACTTATATATTATATGTATGTACTTAGCTTTCTTTGGTACTATAAGAAGGTTGGTAGTGTCGATGATCTGAATCTGGGGAAGTAAAAACTTATAAAGTGCTATAACTATGCCACAAATTAAGATACGAAACTACAATTCGGTACACTGCCTCGAAGTATGGAGGGGCATTTGTAGTTTGAAAGTTTTTGAAAAGTGGAACCCCGGCCACTATATGGCATTATGGATATAACATTTTATTGAAATTCTGAGATCGGCTTTTCCCGATAATAATGTCTTCTCGGGTCAAAAATGGGTAAAATTGAAACAATACTTGCATAGCACTCATATACCTAATATCATATACAAATTTGATTTTAGTCATCTTTTTTACAGAGTTCAACATATGAGTTATCTCAAAGAAAGCATCTTTTTCTGGTAAAAATATGTCGTGATGCCAAAAGTAATAGACTCGGGTCAATACCAACCCTAGCTGCCATATATCTAATATAAGAATTTTAAACTTGTTGTTATCTTTGTACAGTAATTATATATTCGGTCGATATATTAAATACCTTATCAAAATAAGTGAACGTAATTATATTATATTAGAAATAATATAGTTGAAGTCTTATGGAGTTCAATTCAACTAATTGTGGTGATATTTATTTCTGTGACATTTAATATATAATATTTAGAAGGATCACCGCTGTTTATAAAGCCTTTATTTTATGTACATACTTCACTAATCGCTTTGAAAATAGAAAGAAATGGAGATGGGAGGCTACATCACTTTGTTATAAGAATAAGTCGTTCTAAGCATCAGCGTAAACATTTTTTCAAAGGTTTATGTGTTATATCTCTATGAACAATAATACTTATATGTTATAGTTCCATATTCGTACTTAAAATATAAATTATCATTTTATTACAAAATCATATAGTATGATTTGAAGAGCACTCACCACATGGCCTTGTAGCTCCGCTTCTCTGTGAGATCTGTGTATACCAAGTTGATCCTGAGTTGTTCGTAAGCCCGCTAATTGGTTATAATGGTGCAAAGGGGCATGGTGCAGTGATGATAACGGTTGTCCATATGGATCTGTACCCAAATACTCTAAAGCTCCATGGTTCTGTAAATATACAGGTACCTAATCAATATTAGATTAATTATGTAATTCCAAATAAACTCTCATTTACTATTATTAGCATTTCATTAATATTATTTTAATTAGTTAAAGTAAGATAAATAATATCTTATCTATTTTCACTTTTGTTGCATGGAAACCGTATAATATTTGTATATAAAGTTATGAAATATGGTATAAAATAATCAGACAACAGTAATATATTATTAGTATAACTATTGATATAAATTTAAAACAATTTTTACACCTTGGACAGGGTATATTAAGTTTGCCACGAAGCTTGTAACACGGTGAAGGAAACAAAGTACTTAGTCCTGCCATAAATTCTGTTACAAGTCAGGCCATTATAAAAATCAAATTGAAACTACTCGTATAATTTTTATTTATGTTAACTTTATTTAATAATGCATATGGGTCATTCCATCTAAAATTTATGTTTAAATATTTTTTCGAACAAAACAAAATTTTTTGTGTTCTTTGAGACAAAATATTGGACACAAATTTTTTTATTTGGACCCAATATGAAAAATTTTGGAGTTATGAATTTTCAGAATTTGACATTGATGCGGTCGATATATGCCTTTCCGTTGATATAATTTACTGTTTTCTTAGAGGTTGTACGAGAAAAGTTTTTAAGGCTGAAAAAAATTTTTTCAAAAGGAAATAATTCTGGAACTTTATAAGTTCGATAAGTAATATTTTGGTAAATGGGCACATTTAATTTATATGTAGATATGTATGTATAATTGCGTCAGCGATAAAAAGTAAAATATTAAAATTCTCTGACATGATGTTAAATTTTATGTTAACGGAAAAATGATGGATAAAGAGAAATGTAGTTATGTCTAATGTATGTTTTAAAAATACTGGTATAGCTATTAAAAGCCTATTTGAGTATTTCACAGATATGTAGGTACATATATACTAGGGTTTATACTAAAATTGCCAAAAATCTATGAAGGGAAATTTTTTTCAAGTAAAACTGTATAAAATTGTAAGGCGGAGGGCTGACCCATAACAACTAAGAGCTCATACTTGGAGAAATTTTCTTAGAGGTGTCTAAGAAACTATTTTTTAAAGTACTAAGCGAAAAAAAATATTCGATTTTTGAACCTCCCTTAGTATATACGTACATTTTATCATAAAATTTAAGTGTTGTATTTTATAGACCAACTTCTTTGTATTTTAATGTCATCGATGGAAATTTCAGTTCCTATGAAAATTTTATAACTTAAAAAAATTCGATGGAAAATTCCATGCACATTACAGAGCGTGAAACGATTTCCGGCTACGCGCTAATGGAATGCCTTCTTACAATACAGATTGACATTAAGAAATTAATAATAAATATAAGTTGTGTTCACCTAACGGTTGCTTGTTAAATCTAAAACTAAAATATAGGTATGTTTATCAAAATGATGTCAAAATTTTCTTACCCGTGCAAACGATAACGTGAGTTGGCCAATACGCGTGATATTTTAATTAAATTAAGTAGACATATTACTATTGACTTTCATCTTGCAACTCCTTTTGTGAATTGGTAGTTTAATTTTTTCGCAAACAACATAATTTGGGTAAGGTGAGAGATTGGACGCTTGCGTATTAGGTTTCCTATTTATAGTTAATTTCTAGGTTCTTTAAAGGAAGTCATAAAGTAAATTTGGTATTGTAAGAGTTTGATTAAACATGTAATATGAACTTTATTTTAAGTTTGTTGAAAGCAAAATGAATACTAAGCAAGAAGTGAAGTCTGCGGTGAGCAATTTAATTCAATGTGCAGTTCAAAGTAGGTTTTACAACATTTGAGAATTCAAACAACGAATATTTCTTAAGTATAAGATAAGGAATCCTGTGTCAAAAAATTAAACGTGAGTAAAACAAAAATTGAAGGGTTAAGTTTGCGAGCAGCCAAACATTTTATACTCCCGCAATTTTTAAAAATCAAAAATCAACGACAAAGTTGTGATTGTTTTACAATCATATATGGTATATTGTTAATTTATACGCACTATAGGCCATAGTCTCAATTAATTTTATTGTTCCATTTTGTTTTATATCCGAGATATTTATATTAAAATGAATCTAACTAATACTATATTTATCAAATTAGCGCTGTAGAGACACATACCGGTATCCATAATTATTACTACCGAATGACATAACTTTCAGGACTCAGTGGAATCGCAGGTAACTGTAAACCTGACGAAGGAAAGGTACCCTACCCCCGCTATCTGTAGAATGGAAACAGGTCGGTTCTTCAACTTTTTGTCCTCAGTAAGGTTAGACTCTCCCTGGTCGTGGGGGTTATAATAGGTCATTGCTCTATCCGCGTCCACGCTGCAGGGTTGAGAATCTTACTGGAAGCCAACCCTTCATTTTTGATTATTCCGCGTTTGCGAGATCAAGTCTTAAACACTTGGGAGCTCACATTTTCAGATATCCCACCATGTTGGTTGGAATATAAATTAAACGCCTTTACAAATTTGCAGGAAGGTTATTCTCTTAGTTACAGGACACAACATAGAACAAGTGTTGACGTCCTGCACGAGACAAACTTCAGCTCGTATTAATAATGAACCTCCATCTGGCATTACAAAGGACCTGTAGGGTTTTTACTTTCGAAAAATCGATTTTTTTTTCTCTTATCTTATTGTTTAACATTTCAAGAATATGCCCTTTAGGTCGATAGAAGCAATATTCTTAAAGTTACTGTTTTATTTATCCAACCAATAGTTCATAAACTTTAGACGCATTTTTCTCAAAACTACTTTTTCAAAGTCCGTGTTTACTGTCATTTCAAAACTACTTGACCGATTAATTTCAAACTTTATACACATTTTCGATATATAAAATACCGCCCCTACGTTGAGTAAACATTTTTTTTTTACATAAAGGGTGTTTACCTCCCCTAAAATGGCGAAATTTTTAGTGGAAAATAACAGTTTACACTTAAAATAGCCGCCAAAAATTTTTAAATGAAAAACAATTATCATAGAACGTTGGGGAGGAAGATTTGATCATAATTTAACTAACTTTTCTTGGTTTTTTTTCAGTTAATTTCCAGCCGAGTTATGGTGAACACGGCAAATTGTTTTTTTCTCAAGACGTTCTGGGGGAAGCTCTGTTACCGGCTTATGCTTCAATATTTCTGCATGAAAAAATTACTCTATATTGTTGAAAGTATGAAAAAAATTGGCAAAAAAAGTTTTTTTTTACTTTGAAACCCTACCCCCCCTTAAGCTTATTTGGTTTTTTTTTTGGAAATTTTTAATAGATAAGTATAGATATATTCAAAGATTATCTCAAAGAATGGATGACTTAAAGGTAAAGTAACTAAATTACAGTTTCATGTATTACCTGTTGTTGGGGTGGACTTTGAGTTGAATGATGAAACGGTGGAGGAAAATAGGGCGGTTGGAAATCTGATTGAAGAGATTGATGATGCATTGTTGCTGTAGATCCGTGAGTACTGCCATGGCTACCGTGTCCAGAAGAAGGTCCTCCACGGCCACTGTGGCCACCCGTATGTGTCGTGTAAGCGGGGCTACTGCTTGACAACCCCAAGCTCCCATGACTAGTGAGGCGTTCCTGGAAAAAAAATTAATGCTTAGTTTCGTGTAGTAACACTATTATTTACAAAGTATGACTTATTAATTCCCATAGATAAAAACTCATTTGGCAGTTAGAACCGGTATTAAAATACCATAAATTAAAATTATCAGATAACGGTACATACTTTTGAATATTCGTGGAAATAGGTATTTACTATAACGTCACAAAGATTAATTTTCTTCAGGCATTAAATAACATAAAGATGAAAACAAGCTTCAAAACCATTTTTGTTGATCTAATAATCTCAACGAAAAAACTCTAATCGATAATTTTTCGTTATAGTCATATATCGGGGAAAATGTATTTAGACAATTAGTAAATATTTAATAAAACTGAACACATATTACTTTTTTTTGGAGTTATGGTAGACTTTGTCATTTTATTCTAGAGCGGGTCTTGTTCTTATTTCGGATCTCGCTTGAAAACTTTACTTTTACTAGCAGACGGAAAACACCGAAAGAACAGAGTTCTTTATCTTCAAAAAAAAAAAAATGAAAAAAAAGGTTTTTAATTAAAAACTCAGTTGCTTTTAATGATAAGATTTTGAGATAAGTATATAAATGATATATTATGACTATTCGCTAGGTATTTAACGTTTGAATTTTTCAACCAAAGATAGATTTTCACTTCTTGTAAACATACCTGTCAAGCATCCAGAGCTGGCAACAATCTAAATTATTTAGTAAGCTGTTTCAACTCTTGTTTTGATACCAAAATAACATAAAAAACTGTATGATATTATTGCTTTCTTCATCTTTTACATAGAACAAACATTAGAATAATTATTTAGTTTTTAAGTAAATTTTGCTGCAACCAATACTTTCGCATGACATGCATTATCATATTTGCAAAAACGTCAAAAAAGAAGAAAAAGTGCAGAATGATCCGTGCTCACATATTTCAAGGGGCTCGATGCTTATAACTTTGTAATTTAGTTAATAGTTATAACTTTGAATGTGTGAACATGTCCAATTTTTAAGACTTAAAGAGGAATCTTTATCGGCTAAGATGATCTACACTGTACAGGATAGTATTCCTAATTCATATTGGTGCGCAAAGCTGCAGCGACGGTCACTTTTTTCGCGTCTACACAATTAAAAATTCAATAAAAAAAAGAGATTATTCAAAATTCTAATTCGTCTCATGCTTTTGAATAAATACAATAAAAAAAAAAAAAAATTATAAAATACTTTAAGAAAAAACGATCTCCTGCTGTTTTGTCTGGTTAAATGTTTTTCGTTATTTATATCCATAGATTTAATAAACATGTGGTTAATTTTTTTTTAAATATTTTTACCTGGACATTTATAACTGTGGGCATGTCGATATAGGCTAAAGTCATATTCACATTTTTTATTTTGAGTACAGAAACTGATTTCAACACATTTCTGTAGTAATTTTTAGCATATATATTTCTATTGGCACTTAATTAAATTAATGTAATCTTTTTGTGTTAATAATTTAATAAAAAATGTTTCATAGTCACAATAAGATCACACACTTATCTTGAGTTACAATTACAAGCACATTAATTGTATAGACCTAATTCTTCTTACAGGAGGAAATAATGCGACACGATTCCACCTTCACGAATTACGCGGCAACTGCGAATAAGAGTGCGTAAAAAATATTTGCTTTCTTACACCGCTTAGCAATGAAACAGGCAAAAGTTGTCCAAACCACGCAAACGCGTATTTTGCATTTAAAAAAAATCAGCAACAAATTCTACGTTATAGCAAAATTGAATGATAGCAGCGTGGTATAAGAACCATAGAAGAATGGTGAGTTGTGAGTACGCGCACCGCACATACAAAGGTACACGACGGCTTGTCGTCTGTTTATCCCGACAGCATTGGGTTGCCAACGACCAGAGTCCCAGCTCGTTTAACGCAATAGTTCGCAGCGCTCATCCACTCGTAATATTCGGGTGTTTCGTGTTGAAATTTAACTACCATTAGCTACTAACTGCGTGCGCTGATAGATGTAATATGAAAGAGCGGCAAATGTGAATACAGCATACTCATTTATACACAAATATATTTTGTAGGTTTTATACATACATATTACTTTGCTACCGTGCAGAGATAAAATGACAAGCAGTAACAAAATGTTTCAATATTATTATACAAATTCGTCAATTTCTCTCAAGGTTAAGCACATAATCCACAATTTTATTGCTAATATATGAGAATATCTCTGCCGTAATTATATTTGTACCCATACATAATCAATAACGGGTCAAGATTGATCATGAATTGTTTGAAAGTCAGAAGCTAAAATATTCTGCTACAGAACTCGGATAACAGAATTCGGATAATATTATATTTATATATATTAATCTGAATCTTAAATGATATGATATTTATGTATGTATGTATGCATGTATGTATGTATGTATATAAGAAAATGCTTTGTTCAAGATACCTCTTTACAAAAGAACTATTTTTCTAAAAATCCAATCAAGTATATGTTTTTCTATTTTGTATTTTTCTACAAAGCGCCACCTAAATATTTTTATTACGAAAATAATGGGTTAAGAAATCACTAGAAAAACAATAATGTTCCACAGATAATTTAATGAAATTTAAGTCGAGATGCTTTAAAAAAATTTATCAAATATTTAATGAGTGCACTTAAGTACAGGCTTCTTGTTTCCAGTTATTTTTAATAAAAAGGTATGTAATGACTTTTTGAAAGATATTAAGTGTAATTAAATTAAATTCCACTTTTATCAGCTCAAGTATATGAGATGATATGGTTTTGACAGATATATATTATTAATATTGATATGTTAAAAACTGGCCGCTTTCAAAGGCCGACTTCCAGATAAGGCCTGATAGAAGCAGAGGAGGTGTTTCAGCGTCTCTCTCATGCCTACTTCCCAAGCACTTTTTACATGTGTCATGGTTAATAATTCCCATACGGCTCGCATGGGATGCCTGTTCGCTTGCACATGATCTTGGCGATCCTGCATACATGTAAGGCATTCGCACCTTGATCCGTCTGTCAGCCCTTTCGGAGATTTTATTGTGTATCGATTTTGCGTATTTCCTGAACTAATTCGGTACCCATGATGGCACTTTTGGCAATCTCATCGGCGATCTTGTTTTCCTGAATGACCTTGTGGCCTAGAACCGTATACATGATGTTCTTTATGTCTTTATCTGCGTTATTAGCCAGCTACCCACTCCATTAGCCAGTTTGATGCGCCTGCGAAAATTGACCGAGTGTTTTAGGGGTTGGCTCCAACTCTGTCACGGGTTGGCCCGGTATTGCAGTACGATTGCGAAAGAATTCAATATTCATCATTCAACGAAATCGTGAATGGATTGCAATCAAATTTGGTATTTTATTAACTAACCTTATTGGTCATAGACTCACTTAGTTTTATAACTATACTTTACTTCGTGTCAGCGATAATTATATTAAAATCATCCTCAAATGAGTTGTATTATGTGATAAAAACTTAACTAAAGATGCCAAATGTAATATTTTTGGTATATGAGGAAAAAGTCAATTCAAAGATATCTTACCTATCTATACATACATATAATATATAAAAGAAATTATGTGTGTATGTTCCATGTACGCTCCGAAACGGCTAAACCGATTTACTGAAGAAGAGCGTGAATTACGGCTTCAACAAAATCGTGACAAAGAGTCTTCATCACGAGCTACCGAGACAATCCAATTTAAACGCACCTAAGTTATGAAACGGTACCAGATTAACAATTAAAAAATTGTCACCGAATTTAATCGAAGCCACTAAGTTCAAAGGCGAAGACGTACTGATTCCACGAATACCGATGATTTCCAACGATTTACCGTTCCAGTTTAAGCGGCTCCGATTCCCTTTGCGTCTTGCTTTAGCGATAACTATCAACAAAGCACAAGGTCAATCGTTGACTATCGCCGGCTTAAATTTGGAGAATTCGTGTTTTTCACACGGGCCACTTGTATGTCGCTTACTCCCGAGTCGGCACACCTAAAAACCTATACGTTTATACTCCAAATGAAAAATGTAGTCTACCCACTAGCCTTAAGATGAGTTTTAACAAACTAATGAGTCTGCTGTGTGAAATGGTCATCGCTCATATTGTATATATTTATAATTACTAGCTTTTTGTTCTGTTAATTTAATGTATCTTTGCTTGTTTTATTCATAAATTGAAACAAAAGACTTCTATCTGTCATTTACATCTGATTAATTAATTTTAACTGGTTTTAAATAACTATCAAAGTACTTTATCTCATTTATATCGTTTATATTTTTAACGTACTGTTATATAATTATTTTAATTCTTTAACATTTATATTTTATAGTCCTTGCTTGATATGCTTTTGTATCAATGATAAGAATGATATTCTATTTACTAACATGTATATGGGTGTAGGTAATAATCTTCACCCGCTCAAGAAGAGAATAGAAGAAATGAATATGAAGATAATTGAATAATTTAATATATTTAAGAGATAAATTAAATATTTACTGTTGTAACTTTGTTGGTTAAGAAAAATAAAGCAAAATTTAGCCCGGCGAAGCGGGCAGGGTACGCTAGTTACCTATAAATTCAACCGGAAGTTTTAAATTCGAATAATAGGTATATGGGGGCTAGGGTAATTATTGGCCCATTTGAACCACTTTGGGTACAAGGACACATTGTTATTAGAGCGGACTATAATATTTCACATATTGACAGGTATATAAGGTTACAGAGAGAACAGGAAGTTCGAAAATCTTCCTGTTATATATATGGGGCCAGGGAAAGTATTTAATCGATATTATCCATTTTTGGTATCACGACTGCCATGGACGAGGTGCCATGCCTATTGTTTAATTTTTACACCAGCTTCCTTTCCGTGTCATCTTGGGTGTAAAATTTATTGTAACATATATGGCGTACTGGTGTCAAAAAATTCCTCTTAGCAAGGTGGGTCGATATAGCTCATATGGCTTGTGAGATAAACACATTAAA